CGCCTCGGGCTTCGGGGGTCCTGGATTCGGATGCCAAGATGCGGGACTGATTGGCTGAAACGTGCAGAGACGGCTGAGGTCATCACACTCCTCGCCTGGCGTCTCCGAGGCCGGGCTTCCAGAGTTAGCGTAGGAGCTTTCCTCCTTCCAGAGAAGCTCCCCCGCTTCGTGGAGACTCGACCCCTTGCGGCTCCCTCTGGCACCCTCAGGTTGGGGCTGGGTTAGTCCCCTCTTCTCCCTCAGAGACACCCCTAAAACTCCTTGGGTTGCGGCTGCGCCTGGGAAATCTAAGGGAATCCCTTAGCTTGCTCATCTGGAAAAGGGGGCTCCGTCACGAACCGGTGCTTCTGGTTTTTAACCCTCGCACACTGGAGCGCCCATTGTCTACTGAAGCAGCCGCCTTTCTGACAAAAGGTGAATGCGAACTGTGTGGGCTAAATCCTACGAAGGCAGATAGACATCAGGACATCCCTGACTCACGCAAGCCTGGGGAAAAGTCTCACTCATCTTCCTCTTCTTCAAGGAGTTAGACCAAAGGAGGAACTGCTTATTGATTTTCCTGGAGTTAGAAAGTAGCTTAGACATTCGGGGCAGGTAAAAGCGGGTAGGGAGGAAGAGAATTGCCCAGGACCTATTTTAGACATGATCATTACATAGATGCATATTTATCTTCACCAAAGTGCCTTGACTCTGCAATTGAGTGTATTAAACAAGTTTGGTTTTCAGCATATGGTGTCCCCTAAATTAGCATCCTGCCTCCAATAAATAAAACCCCTACACTGTTCTCTTTATCGCAGAAACTACACACATAACTTCATTCTGGAACATGCAATGCAGGTAAAACCAGTTCTGGATATTCTCCCTACTGACTCCATCCTTTCAGAATGCTAGAAGTTGTTCAGTAGAAAAGGTAGCAAGTAGAAAGATATAAAGAATACAAAATATTACATCCAAATAAAGAATGCAACTAGAAATTACTTTTAACTATAAACTGGAGGTAAACCCAAATAAGAATATATTCATTGTAGAGCAAAATGAATGGTGCAATGAACCCAACCCAAGGTTTACATTAAAATCCTTCTAGTTGCACCAATTTGCAAAGATTTACATTTTTTACATTTACAAATTTACATTTTGCCATAACCACCATAGTAAGACATGACAAGTGAAAAAAATTTTAAATGGCATCTGGGAAGTTTGGTAAAATCACTAGAATAGTCTTCCAAGTTCTTAGCTACTGAAATGACAAGACAGAGCTCCATGAAAACTGGTGAACAATTTGTTCCTTTCTATTAACTATAATGTGTCAGATTACTTTTTTAATACAAATTATTTTTAATCTATTGCCAACTATGGAGTAGATCACAAGACAGTCAGTTCCAGTAGCATGTGATTAGCTGGGGAAAGAAGAGGGGCTATATAGGAATATTTCTTTGTTTGGGTGACACAAAGATGAATGGTCTATTGTCTTACTGTCTAAAAGAAAAAAAAGACAACTCAACAGTGCCATCTCCTGGAGAAATTACTAAATATACTTTTAAACTCTGAAGCTGTTAGAATTACCTGTACCTTCGCTTTTTTAATATATTGCTTTTGGTTATTATTATATGCTTACAGAATATGTATTTCCTTCCTCAAACTGTATCAGCCATTGGGGACATGGTACCTTGCATATGGCACTGAGAAAATGTTAGTGAATGAACTATTTTAGTATTTCACTTTTGTCTAATGACACAGGCACTAAATACAATAGTTGCACTGTCAGATCTCCTTTGTGAAATACCATACCTAAGGTCTTACCTTATTGGCAGGACTAAAATATGTAGATTTATCTTATTACCAGACCCTTACTCTTCTCCAAGGTAAATTCTGCAGCAGAAAGAATAGAAAGCAGTTACACATCACAAAACTAGCTTTTGCCAGTAAGATTATTTCTCTGATTCTGTCTAAATGGACACAAGAAGCCTTGTAGAAAAATTTAAAATTCAAAAAAAAACAAAGTTCTTTCAAGAATGCTATAATTCTATTAAGAATTCTGTAATTGGAATTATAGAGGGTATGAAATTTACTGTTTCACCAGTAGAGTAAGCTTGAAGCTAAGAACTATTTTATTTTGTAGTATTTGTGTTTTCCCTCCATAACACGTCTCAAACACCTCACCTCTCCCTAAAGCAGCATGTTTTTTCCATTTCTGCATTAACCGACATTGAGTTAAATGGGGTATTGTTTATTATTTAGTTCTCCCCACTAGAAGCTTCATGGGAGCCACAGACCACACCTGGTATTTTCATACCTCTATCCCCAATACCTAATACATTACTTGACATACAGTACACAGGTACTCAGATTTGTTAAATCTGAATAAACAGAAGTTGATATGATTTTTCAATGGCATTTTCCACTAGCATTTGGTAAGAGGTGAACATGAGAGAAATTAATCTCATGATCATGTTATATTTACTAACAGTTAAAATCACCAGGACAGTCTCTAGAACACTGGTGACAATGTAACTCTAGTCACCTATTTTCCTTATATGTGTGTTTCTCTAGAGCAAAATTCTTTTCTTCCAAACATTTTCCATCATTGCAGATGAATTCATTGTGAATTCAGCCTATTCACATAATCAGAATTTGACATCAGAGTTCCTACAGACGTTAATGAAGATAATAAAATTTCGTTCCAAATTGTCTGGTAAGGCACAAGGACTAATACAACATTGTAGCTGGCTTATTCCAAACCATCACAGTTTTGGGGAGGACTTCAAGAAAATGTTCTTTTGATGGTCAGTTAGCAGCATCTCCTTCATATAAGGAAAGTAGCAAAAATACCTATTTGCTCAAGAGAAACTACAGAACTGAAATGGGTTTACAGTGGTATTAATATCTGTAACACATGAGGAAGAGCTGAACTAGTCTGAGTTCCTCTGTCAACACCAAGGAATTCATGATATAGCCGATTCTGCGTAAAGAGCCACTAAAATAATTTTAGAATAGGCACTCTGATAGGATAGGGATATTATTTAACATCACTATCCTTTTTGCCCTAGTCTAACATAAGCATTTTGTACAAAAGACTGCATTAGAAGAGAATAGTCTATTAAATATTTTAAATTTTTCTTTATTCCAGAACTGCCTTTATGTACAGACATCATAAAAAAATGCACATACACTGGAGGATGTCCAAGGAAATGGAGCTGAAAATAAAAGTTAAGGGCAATTAGGAGAACTGAAATTGTCTCCAAGAAATTCTGAGGATCACACTTCTTTAAATGTCCTTGATAACTTCTTCAAGTTCTTCCTTTGTGAACATGTGGAAATTCTGGCCAGGCTGCACTGTGGCTAGCTGGGAAGGAAACAGAGAAGGGTTAATAAGCTGAGCTCGGTTACCCTGCTTGTAGCCCTAGCATGGTCAGGAGGAGTTGTTGGTGATGCAGCTGTTCATTAGGAAATAAGGGATCTGCTGTCCCAGGGATATCCTTTCCAGCAGCAGAGAGCAAAAATAGCTCTCTGACTCCAAAATAAAAATCTCATTGACCAAATTTTCTATTTTGAGGTCAACCCACCACATAATAGTTAACCAAATGCCTGGTGTCACTGTAACTTCTTGAGGTTAGTTCAATGAGGATCACTAAAGCAGCAGCAAATGGAGGCCAGTACTTTTTTCTGTTAAGATCCCTTTAGAAATATATTAAAAGCATATTCACACACTTGCAAGTAGAGCTTGTGTGTGTGACCTTGGGTTACTTGGCCACTTTGTACCTTGATTTCCATTGGTAAAATGGAGATAAAATAACACCCAACTCACAGAGTAGTTATGAGGATTAAATGTGTCAATCTATGTAAAGTGCTTAGAACAGTGCCTAGAACATTGTAATAAACACCACATAACTAACTACTATTATTAGGTATTATTTTCTCTAAAATTGTTCATAAGGTAACTTAGCAAGAAAAAAGTTTGCTTTGTTTTCTTTTTTTTTTTTAAGGATTGGCCATGAAAAGATCCCATTAACAATGACAATAGAAAAACAGTTACATGACTGAAGATATTAGTAATAACGAGCAGTCTAGATTATAACCTATTTAAGCAATACAAGACTAGTGTCACTAGATGGTTAGTTTCAAATTAAATTTTCCCCATCATCTCTGCTGACAACACAGTCCCTTGTTTTGGGTAATACTGAGAAACAGGTGCCATCATGTTTGCCTAAAAAGCTTTTGTGTTTAATTTGTTTAAAATGCCATTTCCTTACATTATCTTTTTTTTTAACTTTAAAATTAAACATAGTAGGGCATTTTTTGAATAATATTACTACTGATATTTAGTATAATTTGAAAAATGTCAGAATTAGCATAATCCAGTTACATGATGTTTATTATTCTCTGCCTCAACTACAGATAAAATTTAGAAAAAGACTTATTACTGCACATCCTAAAACACCTGAAGATCTGGTCTGGGAACAGACTAAAAAGATGTTCTCTCAAAGCCTGCAGTCACCACTCGATTCTCCTTCAAGATCTATCCAATTACATGAAATGATACAAGAGTCCCAAACATATTTCTAAAATATCTGTCAAATAACTTACTGGTGTCCATATAGACCATGAGTTCTATTCCAAGGAAATTAAAATATATAAATGTTATTACTGCTTTTCTCAAGGGCATGAGGACAGAGAGATATAAGGTCAATAAACCAGATAAGAGTGAGGGCCTGAAGAATTTTTTGTCAAGTGACCCATGGCTCACAGTCACATCCAAGTTCTCCCAAATCATAATTGGGGCTAAAAACCAGAAACTGGGCAAATTCTGAATTAGAACAGTCTTATAGAACCAGGCTGCAAATCAATACTACTTAAGACTTTAAATACTTTTAAATACTACCTTCAGGAAGGTACTCATCACTAGATGAGTAAAAATAACCCCTCACATTTACACAATGATACACTTATTTACATGATGAATATGAAAGATATTTTTCTATTTATCTCACTTTACTTTCAAAAAACATCTATGAGGCAGGTAAAACATATTTTCTTTCATTGATTTGATCAATAATTAATTGCCAAGCACCTGTGTACTAGTTATAGTTGTACTAAGCACAAGAGATCCAAAGATGAAGAGTCTCTGTCTTATTTACTAAGAGTGCTAGAGGCCAAATGCTTTTAATGTCCAGTAAGTCTTATAAAAAAGCCCAGCGTACGTAGCCTAAGGGCACAAAGGAATAATCTGGGGACGGATGCAGGATGGCCTCAAGGAGAAGTGACCTTTGAGCTGTGTCTTAAAGCATAGCAAGAATGGGTCTGACAGTTGAGAGGGCAGACTGAACATGCAAATGCATAAAAGCATGACACAAGATGCATATTTGCAAAATTGAAAGTAATTCTGAATGGTTAGAGCAGAGGTTGGACATGGGATGAGATGAATTGGAGAGGTAGTAGTTCACAGCTCATAGAGAGTATATTAAAATGGTTTAAAGTACAGGACCAAAATCAGACCTCGTTTCTCATCTTGACTCCACCATTTACCAACCCTGTTATTTTGGATAAGGTCCTACCCTCTCAAAGCCTCAGTTTCCTCCCTGTAAAATGGATATAAGAATACCTATCTCATAGGGCTGGTGTGAGGATTAAAAGATAATTGCATGTAAAATGCTTAGCAAGATACCTAACAGGTTAAACCTATGCCTTAAGAAGTAGTGAATTATTGTGCCATTAAAAGAAGTTTGGAATTTATCTTGCAGACAGTAAGAGTCAGAAAAGACTTTTTAAAAGTGGAGAACAATCAAGATTAGATACGCAATTTAGAAAATCCACTTCAGTGGCACACTGGCAGAGGAAATAGAATGAAAAGGAGGAGAGCAAGGCTACAGGCAGGAAAACTAGCTAGGAAACCTCTGAAAATAGACAAGGCAGGAGAAAAATGAAGTCCTGAACAAAAGAAGACCCTGAGAGTAGGGATGAAGAGGAGGCACTGATATGCGAGTTATTCACCAGGAGGTAAAAACACAAATCAGCAAAGACAAGGAAGGTCAAAGTCTTCCAGGTTTCTGCCATGAATGACAGGTACACTGGTGGTATCAGGATTAGAAATATGGGAAGAGGAAATGGTTTTCAGGAAAGATGATGAGTTTTGTTTTAGAATTGTCAAAAATTTGAGGTGTCTGCTTCAGAAAAGGTCCAATAATAGGTCTTAAAAATGATCATGAGATCTCATGAACAGGAGTTATCTTAGCAAGGAGCAGTCTCAGGGGGAATAATAACAGAAACAAATGGCAGTGATTGAGGAATAAATGAGAGGTGAGGCAGTGAAGACAATGAATATAGATTCTGTTTGGAAGAGGCTCAACAATAAAGGTTTAAAAAGAGGATGAATGGAATAGCAATAAAATGTAACAGACTCCTGAATCTCAAAATCATGCTAAGTGAAAGAAGTGAGACACAAAAATAATACACACTGTATGATCCATTTATGAGAAATTCTAGAACATGCAAAACAAATCTATAGTGACAAAAAGCAGATCAGTGGGAAGGAAGTGACTAAAAAGGGGCATGAGGGAACTTTTGGGGATGACAGAAATATTCTATATCTTGATTGTGGTGGCAGAAACAAGAGTTATATATTTATCAAAATTCACTGAACTGTAAACTTAAAGCAGGTGCACATTACAGAATGTACATTATACCTCAACAAAGTTGATCTTTTAAAAAGGGATACTAGGTAGAGAGAAAGATTAACAAAGGTGGGTTTTGTTTGTTTTTCTAAAGAAAGATGCAACTTGTAAGTTTTCCCTTTTGAGGGGAAGCAGCTGTAGAGGAGAGGCTGGTGATCCCAGGACAACTGATGGAGCAGGGACCTTAAAGAGATGGAGGAGGATGGGCTCTTTCTGGACCAATGCTCCCAAATGCCTGGCCTTCTTACATTGACCATCAGAATCACCCAAGGAGATTTCAAAAATACAGATTTCTGCTAGACAGCCAAAGACTGATGGACACCCAGGTTTAGAAACCATGAGTTAGAGCTTGGAAAAGTGGAAGTGCCCCTTTTTTCAAGTGAAGAAAACTCTGGTCAGGTATTAATGCAGTAAGTAGTAGAGCATGGATGAGACACACCTGATCATCTCTTCAAAGCAACACTGGAATTGCATTGAAACTGAGTAAGCTGAAAAATATCTTCACAGTTTTAGTTCAACCAAGCAGGCCTTAGAACCTTCACGGTGAAATCAAAAGAGCCACACATGAATTACCCTAAGGTAGCAAGAAGATAGTCTTAGAGGAAATGCCAACAGCCTATCTCATTCAGTAGCATAGAAAACAAAGTCTGAAAGGAACTGACAAAATCCCTCTTAAGGGTCAGGATGGGGTTATCAAGGCATTTGTTGCACCTCATCATCTCAGAGGCTGGCATGAAGAGGAAGAAGCATTTCCAAATCTTTGCTAATTAGGTGAAAAAACAACAATTTACAAAGTTTTTCCATTTCCATTCCAAATCCCCCATCTTCCCATTACTGCTCAAGGAGCAAGCCACTCTGCCCTCCAATTCTCTCTCCGACTCTTCTCAGACCTTCCCAACTTCAGGCCATCCCGTCATTCTGGCATCCAATTTTGCCCCTTTCACTGCAGCCTATGGAACCCGGCTCTCCTGCTGACAGATGGACCAATACTCTCCAGTACTCTCTCCATTCTTCTGCCCATAACCAGTCAATTCTCTGCCAGAGATTAATCCGATGATACATTTTCTCAATCTATGCTGATATAGCTGAAAAGTATCCTGGTAAGTGCTGACTGGTTTAATTACTGATTTGTGATTACAGCCTCCTCAATTGGCCTTTAATTTTTTTTAATTAAACCATAAAATACATATATACTATACCTCCAAGGGTAACCACTACCCTGACTTTTTACAACAATTTGTTTTGTGATTCCAGCCTCAGCTAGTATTTTAATGTGGCCCAGCAATCTTTTCACTCATCCCTGTTTTCTCTTTTCCCTATCCATATTGACTTTTCCAAATATTTCCCATTCTTAACTGCACTGTTGCCTTCACCCACCCTCTGTAGATAATCTAACAATCGCCAGGGGTATATGGGACCTCTCTTCTGATTCACCTCCAAACCTTCCTTATCTTTACTCTTCTTTACCTCCTTTTCTCCTATTTCCTCTTAGCATCCTAAGTAAGGGTCTTCAGAATATGGTCCATGTCTTTCCAATGTCATCTCTTGCCACCTCCATATCTTATACACATCTCACACCCCAGCATTTAGACAAAACCCTCAAAGTTCCCTTTCATGCACAATGTTATTTTACATGTGCTTTTCCCTCTTCCTGGAACACCATTCTCTTCCCTTTTCCAAACATCACCTCTTCCAGTAAGCTTTCCTAATGCCCCAGTATAAGTTGTATGCTCCTGTGTCAATCCATTCTTACTGCTATTATAGAAGTATCATCCCAAGCTGTTATTATCTGTATGTCCTCTGTACCACACAGCCACTACTCAACTGGGAACTGGATTTTCTGTCTCTGTATCCCTGGCATCTACATAGTACCCAGCATATAATGGGTACTCAATATAATGCTGAATCAATTCTATTTTTCAAAATCAATTCCTTCATTTATACCAGGATTTCTCTCTTCTAGAACGTTTCCATCACTATCTAACTTCCACTTTTAACTCTTTTAACATTTTTATATCCACTAGTTTCTTCTCAGACTATTGTAGTATTTTCCAGTCTTTTCCCCATCCTTGAAAGACAAAAATCTTTTTCTTTAATGCTGCCTGCTGCTGCCACTAATTACTTCTTGAGAAAGTAACATACTCTCATTTTGTCTACTTTATCATTCCCTTTTATTCTTTAACTCATCAAATTCTGGCTTCTGCCATTACTAAAGTTGCTTATTCAAAGGATAACAATAACTTCTTAAGAATTGAGTATATAAAAATGTGATTATCTTCATCTATTTAATCTTCAGTAATGACAGCTATGATATCTGAATAAAAAACAATAAAACAGAAAAATACCTCTATGTTAGTTGCATTCAGCTTCTCTTCCATTACTTGTTTGAGGATTATGAGTGAAGACTTGATGGCTTCTTTCAGTGTCATAGACTTGAAACAAAGAGGGTAAGAAGAGTGGCCATTAATTGTACATAATCCTTCCTTCAAAGATGCCCCCTATATCTCCCTGAAGAAATGATTTAGCAAATATTAATAAATCAAACATCTTAATAAGTACACTGCATTACAAGTATCTCCAGAATTCAAGTCAATGGTAAATAAGTAGGGTATATTTATTCAAAGAAAAAAAAGTCTCATTTTAAACCAGAACAAAGTCACCAAATTTAACATGGTAAGTGATCTCTGAAGAAGGGGAAATGGTTACACTTCTCTAGTTACCTTCTTTTAACTTAGAAGCTAGATAATATTGCTAATGTCCTATAAATAATAATTTCCAAATGACCTAGAAGTAGTCTAATGGTTTAGTACCTAACTTCCTCCACATATAAAAGCAATATTATGAGGGGTTGATGTAAGCAGGCATCCCTGTAGAAACCACCTGAACAATAAGTATGGCAGCACTCAGCCACTACAGTGAGTTACCCAATACCAAGTCTTCCCACCCCACAAAGATACAAAATGCCAAATGCCCACTTGCTTGAAGAGCCAGACTAGGAAAGATAAACTACTAAGTAAAACTGTGAAGATAAAGGATAAACAAATTGTGGTACATCTACACCATGGTATAGCGCTCACCAACAAGAAACTACTGATACGTGCAAGCACAAGAATGCATCTCAAAGCCAGTATGTTGAACAAAAAAGGGCAGACACAAAAATACAAATTGTATGATTCTATTTATACAAAGAACAGACAAAGCTAATCTACAGTGGCAAATGTGGCTGAAAGGGAGGGACAGAGTGACTGGAGAGGAGGCAAGCATTTTGTGGGGGGCTGATGGAAGTGTTCTGTATTTTGTTTTAGGTGGTGGTTACAAGGGTGTACACAATTATCAGAACTCATAGAACTGAACTCTTAGGTATGTACGTTTTATTGTATGTAAATTATACTGATTTTAAAAAATATTAATAAAAGTTGTGAGAATGCTTAGTTACCTTGTGGTAAACTTCTTGCAAGGAGCTCTGGGCACCCTCTGAAGCAGAGCCAATTGCTCGAGCATCACATTGTACAAAGGTTCCAGATGGATCCATATGAAACCTGCAAAACCACCAAAAAGAAGAGGATTAAAATGCTGGCATGGAATGGTGGCATTTTACATAACAAATGTCTCACTAAAAAAATATAATGCTTGGCCCTGCAGCCAGGAAATATTAAGGCACAGATCTAGAAGATGTTCTATGGCTGGAGAAATCAGATCTTTTAAAAAGTGTTTAAGAAAACTAACAATGACTAAATCAGGGATTTAGAAGTATATATAAATATACTTTATATATATACAGTATATATAAATATGGTGCTTATGTATGCCTATCCAAACACTATCTGATAGGGAGCAAACCAATATTCCAAAGCAAGGCTCTAAAACACACCTTGACTATGGTAACAAAGTTACTTCTAATTTCTTTCCATAATTAGCACTGGTTCCAATAGCGGAGTTCTTAAAAAAAACATCCCCAAATTTGTCTTTGTATACACAGCACAGAATCACTGAACTTTACAGAATTAGAAGCCCTTCATTTTTACAACTCTACAATAATATTTTCAGCTGATTTAAACAACCAGTCCCAACCCAAATGAAAACAATTATCCCAAAAAGGAAGCAGGGGAAAAAAATGGAAACTGGTACTTACAGCTGGGGTCCTTTTTCATCAACTCCTCCAAACAAGAGCGCTACTCCAAAGGGACGAGACTAGAACCAAAAAGCAGGAGGTATTAAGGTACATGGCTATGAAGTAGGGGAAAGAAGGACTGGGAAAGGTATGCTCAGAGGACAAATGACTTAAGTTCCACAGAACAGCAAGAAAACTTGACACAAACATCACACTCACCATGGCACCTGGATCTGCATCTTCTTCTCCAAACTGTAGGGCCAGGTTTGACACAGCCTGGGTCACACTCTCCACTGTCATGGTCTCATTGTAGGTGAACCAATGGTTCTAAAAGAAGAGCAAAATATGTTCTACCTTTAATAAGAAGGGCATTGAAGGGCCCACTATGTCACTACGCACATCCCTTTGAACTGTGGTTAAAAACTGGCGGCTCAAGTTCCCGTGTGTTTTCCTTAACCCTAAACTCAAATGCTTGGGACTACATTAGAGGAAGAGAAATAGCTCCAGAAATAAAGTTATACCAAAAAGACTCTATGCAATGATAGACTAGAGGACTGCTCCCTTGAAAAACAGGGTTAACCCCTCAAAGCACCAAGTTTTATCTTTTTTGCTAAGTGAAAGCTAATAGCTGAATGCCACTATCCCTCAAAGATCCTATCTTATCATTCTGTTGGTGTTAAAATTAAATGACTCATTCTTATATAAGTACTGATAGTAAACTTCCAAATAAGCAGAAAAAATTTTACCAATCAGGTATTTCTTCCTTACCAGGCAGCAGGGGCTCAGTTTAAAAAAAAAAAATCACAGTATTGCTAATCAGTATTTATCACCTGGTACATATTATTGCTCAGGAGAGCTGTTATTTGCAAGCCTAGCAGCAAAGGCAGTTGGGGGGAGAATTCCTTTAGCTATGTCCACCTCCTGCTATGGTGCTCCCGTAGAAAGTCAATTAGGGAACAGAATGAAGTGCAATGCTTGCTTTATATAAGCCAAATCAAAAAGAAGCAAGAGACTGTCAGCACTATTTACCACGGCTTCCTTAAAGCTGCAACGGTTGGAAGCTAGACTCCAATTCTCAGAAAGCATAACCAGGGATTCCACCCAAAATCACTCCCAAGAGCTACATCCAACATTAACAGAGATACCTGCAGCACAGCCCGCAGTCATATCATCACTAAACAAGGGACTCAAGCATCATGGTAAAAAGGAGAGATGATGCTAATGTTACCTGTGTCTCCACTCTGGCTTTATCAATTAAAGTCTTAGCATCAGCAATTAGCCCACTCATGGCACAACCTGTAATGTAAAAGCAAAAGTGACCTGATAGTCAAATCCTTGTAGAACTTTTCATTCACTCAGGAAATACTGAAATTCTGGAGTGAAACCATAGCAGTCATTCAGGAATCACAAAGCAGTATACCCAAGAGATCAGATAGGAAGGATTATCTGCACTGAACACAAGTATAATTATATCAAGAACAAATGAAAAACCAACCACAATGACACAGAAGTCCACTATTAAGATAGGAGACAGAGAAGAGCAGCTAATCAAACATGAATTTCCACATATTACATTCTCAAGCATTCCTTTAGCACTCTTTGTAGACCATGATGCACTTTCAAACTAAGCAAATACTAACACCCCAACAGGAGAAACAAGGGTAAAAATAACTATCTCATTATGAGTTTCAGTGGAAGACTCTAGAATAAAATCAAAAGACTTTTCAATTCCTGACCAAACATAACTAATTATATTAGAGATGGACCAAGATGCCAAGATTATGGCTGTTACTTATACATCATGACTCAAATCTAAATTTCCAACCTGGTCTCACTCCCAAATTTCAGACCCATAAAGCCAAATGACTCCTTTAATATATCTACTTGGATATACCATAGATTCAACTCACTTCCCTTCTAGATTCCATCTTCTTCCCTGGCCCTCACAACCAATCAAATCCCAACTTCTGTTAATCGCTATCTGATTAGCCAGTCTGGCATTAGCCCTTATGTCTCCATTTTCTGGCCACAGCCTTGGTTAAAGCCTTCATCATCTCTTTATTTGGACTATTAAAAAAATTTCCTAACTGGTCTCCCTGCCTCATCTCAGCCCCCTTCACTTTACCTTCAACACTACCATCAGAATGGTCCTTCTAAAATCCTAATCTGATCATGTTATCTAAATGCTTAAAACCTTTGCCATCAGTGCAAGAAGGATCAAGTTCAAGCTCTTTAGTGTGATACAGAAGTACTTCCACTTATTTCTTGCCACATTCTACCTCCCAGTCATATCAAACTGCTTGTGCCACAGTATTTTATATTTTATACCACCAAGGCTTTGCTCATTTTTATTCCTTCTGACCAGAGTGCTCTCCCCTGCTGTAACTAGACACTTATTTGCTTGGTAAACACTTCCTCATCTTTCAGAATTCAGCTCAGCTCAAGCATCACCTTTATGGAATCCTTTTGTGAAAGCTCAACTACCACTGGCCCCAGGCAAAACTAATTATTTCCTCCATTGTAGCCCTACTGAGCATACACTACAGCCTTTCTTAATACCTGTGTCATTTAACTGTAATGCCTTATGTACATGTCCACCTTGTCTACTGGAAGACAAGGACTATGTCTCATTCCTCTCTGTGTCCCTGGTATGTAGCACAAAGTCTGGCACATAGTAGGTTCTCAACATGTTGGATGAAATGACACTGACCTACCTACGAAAGACAAACGGCGTGAGATAAAGTAGATACAGTATTTTAATCTTAAGAGACTAAATCTCAGTTTCTACATCTATAAGGGAGATAATGTCATGGTCCCTGAGTCACCATGGCATTTGGTTCTTATGCCTTCAAGCAATTAATTATTTTACCAATGTTTTATTAATTAGATGACTAGATAGCTTAAGAAAATGTGGATAGTCAACTAAAATGCCATGTTATAAATAAGCAGAACTACTCATCATGTTACAGTGATGCAAGAAGCTACTGCAGGGGAGTTGAACAGATACAAAAAAGGGAGGAAGGAAAGGTAGGGGGAGATAGAGAATAAAACCATAAATCTGAAAACAGAGGAAGAGTACCAATCTGATCAAAGTTTTATACTCTCTGAACCTTAGTCACTCTGAAGACCTTTAAAACTTTTCTCTTTTCTTAGTGGATACCCCTAGGTTCCCACACAATCCTCTGCTCCAGGTGGCCTTCTAATGTTATGCATCAGTGAAGACTCAGCCACCATGGGGAACAGGTCTATGATTCAATCTTTATGTATTTCAACAATCATCACATCTGCCAAGTCTAAATTTGAGGGAGAAAGGAACTTCTGGAAATAGGTGAATACTACAACTGCTCCCTACTCCTATATCATGCACACTGGCCTACTACCTGGAAAGTGATAGCTAACAAGGGAATAAGACATTCATCTAGTGAACCTCCCTTAGAACATCAAAGAAGACTAATCAACCCAGGCCAGATCCTACAGAACAGCTTTCCCCGACTCCTTACCTATGTGAGCATCAATCTCTACAATTTTCTCAATGCTGCTGGGCTCCATGAGTGGAGAGGTAATTCTCTTCTCCACAGCTAGGCACACACCCTCTGATGTCTGGATCCCAATGGCGGTAGAACCAAGCTAAAGAGAAACAGGTTATGGTTATCACATAGGAATAAAAGAACAGTTTCACATACTCACCAGGAATCTCTCTGTGTATCTTCACATGATAGAAGCTTCAGTCAGCCATATCTAGCACACAGAGAGAATAAGGAGCATCCTAATAAATAATGTACTATTCCTATCAATGGCGAGAACATTGATTTACCAAATTTTGTGCTTCTAAACGGGAAGTTCAGAGGGAGGGTACAGCTCAGTGGTAGAGTACATGCCTAGCACGCACAAGGCCCTGGGTTCAATCCCCAGTACCTCCACTAAAATAAACAAACAAACAAACAAACAGACCTAATTACTACCCCCCACCGCAAAAAAAAAAACAAACTGGGAAGTTCAATAATGTCTTAAAAATATCTTGAAAATGATCAACTTTAATGCCCATTTTGGGGAGGGGGCAGATTTTAAAGTTCTAAATGTAATGGGCAAGAAAGTAATAAAATTCTAATGTTTTTTTCTGGACCTGGTATCTTTTTACCTCTGCTACCTTGATCTATCCCCAAAAGTGATGTCCCTCAAATCTACGTAACCTCCAGAAAAGTAATTTACTTAAAAAAGAAAAAAGAAACACCACCAACAACCTAAAAATATTAACTTAATCTTTCAAGGACATTAGCAGTCTAAAACGTAGCTTGACTTCATCTCTCCATCTCCATACAACCATCCTAGTCACCCACCCCTCTGTGTCTCAGTTTCTTTATCTGCAAAATGGGGATAATAATAAAACCTACATATCAAGAAGGGTAAACACACTAACACATGAAATGCTTAAAATGGTAACTAGCACATAGTAAACCAACAACAAATGTGAGCTACTTTATTGTATGCCAAGATTACTTCAACAGCCTTCTACTTAGTCTCCCTATCTTTAATCTCTCTCTCCCAATGTATCTTTCATGTTATACCCTGATTGATATAATAAAATGCTACTTTTAGTATACTTTTCCTTTTCACAAGAACTAGTATCTCCCTATACTGCCTGTGACATAAAATCCAAGTAAGCTTCCAGAGTCCTCAAAACCTAATCCTACTTTCCTCTTCCAATTTTATTACTTATTATTCTCCAACAAAATCCCTCAGGTATAGCTAAACCCATTTTCTCATGCCATATCATCCCCTACCCTTGCACCTCTGCTCATGCTGTTACCCCTTTGCCTATCTAAATCCCACCCATCATTCATAAAGCCTCTCCTGACTACATGTGCTCTTCCCTCTCGATAACCATTATATTTAGATAGTTCTACAAAGCAATGGCTGTTAGTGTGAGCCTCAGACTTCTGGAGTCTTTTACTGCAAAGTATTCCAAAGAATTTCATGAACCGTTATGCATACATGCTTAACACATCTGCAGACAGAAGGATCACGTCTGACACGTGTTTTATTTTTCAAATGTGTAAAGTTATGACTTTATTTAGAAGGGTTATTAAATGTACATACCTGCTTTTTACTGTATATTTTCTTAATCAATGGTACATGCATAACTACAGGAGTTGAACTGTCAAAGAATTTTATGTAAAAAATGAGTGCTCTTACTCCTAAGTAAAGGTGTAGACTGAATACATACATTAGCTCTACTTCTTCCCCAAGCTTGATAATAGGAGATTGAAGGGTTTAAGTGGGGCATAGGATAAACCCACTGGGACAAAGAGAATGAGCAGAGACATGGTGACTAATTTTAAAGAAAGAGGACAGGTTTGTGGTAATTTACTTTGAGTAGACCTAAGATATCCAAATCCTAAGCCAGTGGTAAAGAAAGTCAAGAAACAACCTGATTTATACCACAGGACCCCCCCCCCCAAAAAGGGAATGATGGCAGCAAGGACCTCTGGAAATAGAAATGGAATAGCTAAAAATTATAAAATTAGTTCAATGTTTGCTTAAGAAACAGATTTCCAGATCCCTTACCCTATCTAGCTTTAAACCAGATGATGGCTCCCACTCCCACTCCTGCAGAAGACTCTGGAGAGGGTAAAACAGCGGGCCTATAGATTGGGGGACACCAAGCACGGTCAAAGGCGGGAGTACTACAAGAGAAAACAGGAGGATTAAGTAAAAACTGACAAGCTTAGTGTTAAGAACCCCAGCCTTCTTTCCCTACTCAGCTCTCAGAAGCCAGCAGCCAGAAACACCCTCCAGGCATGAAATGAGAAGAGGCAGTTTTCTCTAGAGCAGTAGTTTTCAAAGTTTCTGACCCAAATCTACATTAAGAAATGTATTTTATATCATGACCAAAATATACAAACAGATACAAATAAATAAATATAATAGAAAAAAAGAAACACCAGTACTATAGGCAAGGCATTCTAAGACCTACTGCTCCATTCTACTTAAAAAAGAAATGCTCCTGTAACCCATTAAATTGATTCAATGTCCACTAATGAATCAAGATCTGCAGTTTAAAAAACATCTCTAAAGAATCTGACTAATTCGAAAAGGAAAAAAAAATCTTAAAAAAAATTTTTTTTATCCTTGAAGAAAAAAGAAGATACTTCATCCATAAAACAAGAACAGGGTACTAATAAGAAAAAAGAAAAAAAAAAGTTTGGTATTTAAAAATAATTTATGAAATTATTGGAGAATGGAGTCTACCAAATTGAAGGAATACATCAAAAAACAATGACTTGGGATCTAACACAAGGGGGAGTTAAAGGGAGTTCCTAGGACGAAGCTGATGAATCCTGAGTGCACAGCTGTGCAGCAGGCCCAGAGAACCAGTCCAGACCAGAGCAGGTCAGAGACTCAAAGATTTCTTTAAGAATCTTGAACAGGCTACTCAATGTGCCTGGGTGTTTTGAGAGGATACATATAACTTGGAGAGACCTCTGGGATGAATTATTGTATTTACATACTAAACTGGGCAAATTTTTTAAAAAGAGAACCACTGACTCCTAGGAAAACAGTATTATACAGAAACAGAAAAATGGCTGAGGTGTGAACAGCATTTACACAGTCATACTAATATAAATGTTGACTAATGATCTAACAAAATTATGATAGATATGATGTTTACTGACAAAACTGCCCTATCCCCACCCCAGTAGGAAATTGTACATCTATGTGTCATTGGGGGCAGAAATCTTCATGGTTCACAATAAAAAGCCCATGGATAATACCTAAGTGAAAAAAATAATAAGCCTGTGTTTTTATCTTGGAGATATGGAAGTAAATGCCAAGAAAATTAGCTGAAAGACTTTAAAGTGTTATACCTGAGAAGCAGAAGATGAAGGAGGGATTGTTTTTGTTACAAGGTTTATAAAACTATTTTACCTTCTGACTCTAAAACTACATGCAGGTATGCCTTAAAAATATAGTTGACCCTTGAACAACACAAGTTTGAACTGCAATGGTCCACTTACATGTGGATTTTTTTCAGTAGTAAGTACAGTACTGTACTACAGTACTGATCCGTGGTTGGCTGAACAGGTGAATGCAGGACTACAGATATGGAGGACCAATTACAGATTACAGGACAATTTTACAGCCTGCTTGGAAGGTTGGTACCCTTAACCCCCACCTTGTTCAAAGGTCAACTATAAAATTAAAAAAGTCAGAAACCATTGCCAGAGAATTCAATTTAGCACTTAGTTGTTCTCTAATTGTTTTATGTATAGTATATTGATATTGAATCTCTCAAGCAGGACAGAATTCATATCTACTTTTTAATTTTACCTAGCAGAGTTGTTTTCAACTGGGGGCCATTTTACCCCCAAGGGGACAACTGACAAAGTCTAGAGACATTTTGGGCTATCACAATTGGAGGAGTAAGTGCTACTGGCATCTAATGGGTAGAGGCCAGGGATGCTGCTAAATATCCTACAATGCATAGGACTATTCCCAACAACAAAGAATTATCTCGTCCACAATGTCAATAGTCCCTATAATTATTTTGTGGAGGAAGTGCTTAGCAGCACAAGAAAAAATTCTCAGCTTATTCAATTTAAGTTGGGCTCCAACCTAAATAACTTTCTAAGCTCCTACTCCAAAAAAGGGTAAATATTTTTGAGACAGGCTATTTTATAAAATATATCAAAATCAAGATAACTTTCTTTTGTACATTACTTGTATTCCCAGACATTTCAACATTACAATTCTGCCTAAACTCCATTCCCACCCTGGGTGGGACTGAGAAGAGGGAGAAGGGAAGAAAGGGAACATTTGAACTATGTATTGTATATTTAACATAACTCACTAGCATAGTAACCAATGTCCAGATGTTCAGTATAATATAATAATTTTGGCACTGTCACAGATTTCCACTCCTTCCCACAAGAAACCCACTCTAAAAGGCACTTTGCCCCCACCTCAGCTGGCTATATCTCACCCATGCCATCCACAAAGCACAGTACCTCTAAGTGATAATGTTTACTTGTCAGCCATTTTTAGTCATTTCTCCAGCTCCTTTCATACTACTAACTCCTTACAGTTATCAAATTGCATTCACACAGGGTGCTCCTAAGTTGCCAAGACAACAACAAGGTTGTTTCAACAGCTAAGAGTCTGAATTTTCACACAGGTTAAGTAGCAACATTAATGGCACTATCCCTATCCTAACCTAATCGAGGGCTATAGAGATCAGATACTATCGCATTATCTCTAAGCAACCTGGAAATTACTAGCACCAAGGGGCTTAAGGAGAACCAAAAAATCCTGATAATTACTCTTGGCTGGCACATCTGGATAGAACTATTATCTTAGCTGAGGCTCAAAATAAATGCTACAGCTAGGAATTGTGATAGTCTCCAACTTCATAGTAACATATGGTTTAAATATAGGGCACACATGATCAGAAATAGAAAATAGGCACCTTCTGTAGCTGGCCCATCATTTTCTGTCCATTATCTATCATAATGCTTCCACCTTCACTTCTGTGTCTGCAACTAAGAATCTTCTTTGCCCTTTTCCAGATTGTCATACAACCAGTTCCCCCTAATACACTCTTTCAAGAGGTAACTTAGAGGGAAACACAATAGTTCTCTTCAAAAAATATGTGAGGAATTGTCTTATGGAAGAGGTTTAAACATCCTGTATGGTTCAAGTACCAACTGAAGGAGACTTCAGGAGGCTAGCCCTTTTTTTTAATTGAAGTATAGTCAGTTACAAAGTGTCAATTTCTGGTGTACAGCACAATGTCCCAATAATGTGTGTATATATACATATATATATACACACACACACACATATATTCGTTTTCATATTCTTTTTCATTAAAGGTTACTACAAGATACTGAATATAGCTCCCTGTGCTATACAGAAGAAATTTGTTCAGGAAGTTTTCAACTTTTGTTTCAATACAAGAATAAACTTCCAAACCATTATGAACTGTTTTCAAACACAATGAGCTATCTAGTGAGAAAATATTCTGTCGCTAGAACTATAAAAAAAAGAAGCTGCTTAGGGATATAGAGGTGACTGAAACAGAGTGAAGAGTTGGATTAGATCAGAGATTCTCCATCCTTCCTAGAATCACTAAGGGAATCCTTAAAAATACTGATGCCTGGATTATTCTATTATAATTAGTAAAAATACTAATTTAGATCTCAATCAGACTTTATATTATTCATAATCCAGCAAACAGAGATCCCATATAACTAACTGTAAGTATAGATAGGTTATTTTTAAACTACTTTTTTGAATACTGGTTTGAACTATTCGATTCTGTTGCTAGATTACAGGACACATCTCTTATTCAGTCCCAAAAAGGTACAGTACAAATTCACAACTTTACCAACAAGAGTACAGGTAATCAGTTAAATGATTTGTTCAGGATGACAAAATATCTCCCAGGTGCTAACTGGAATTCTATACCTCTCTTTTTAGGGCCAAGAAGATTATAAACACAAAGATGTCTCTCCAACCCCACTAAGAAAAAGCTATTTACATAATTATGAAGCAGTTATTTGTCCAAAAAGTTTCAAAATAGTTCACCCAGTTGTTAGGAATGTGATTGAAATTGTTGTAAAAATATTTAATTGTGGTTGATTAAAGGGAGATAAAGAACATTTTCTAAAGGAATAGCTAAAACACATTTACTCCAAATTAAGTTGCCATGAAATTTCAAAATCTATCCTATTTGCTACTATACCTTGATAGCCTCAATGGCATACTCCACTTGAAATAATCTTCCTTCAGGAGAAAAAGTATTCACGCCCCTATAATTAAACAAATGAACAACAACAAAAAAGCATTAAAATTGTTAGAAAAAATAAGTGTGGAGACACTAAACCCAAGTTATTTGACATCTAGCTTAGATGGCTACAAGAAGTACACACAGTCATTATTCTCCTTTGTCCACAACAATCTGTAGCTATTTTTTGGTACATTAACAGCTTTTCAAGAGAATGGAACCCATATATAGAACATTTCTGCCCCTCTCCCAGAATATCTTCAAACTGATCTAATGAGAGCAGATGACTTTCAGCCTCAATCTTGAATCAATTTGGAATTCCTTCAGCAAATTCATGCCCCCAAACTACCAGGCAATTCCTAAGAAAATGTACATTTATCCTTATCCTCTTCCCATTACGTGCATCTGATGTTAATATCTTACTTTTCAGTAAAAGTCAGTCACAAGGACATTTCTCTATTTAATTGTATGAATTAGTATGTTATCTTAACAACAGACTGAGATTTGGGCAGTTCCTAAAGCCCAACCTAGTTAATTCACTCAAAATATTATACCAATTACATGCCAGGCTGCTTTCCTCCCTTAAACACCTCCCAACTTTTCCTTGCTCTGGTCTGTTAAAAATCCCTCTGGAAAAGAGGCATCACAGTCTTAGCTAAAAAGGCTTGCAGCATACAATGCACACTTTAAGAATATTTGAACAAGTGCGTGAAAATAGTTATGATCCTTGGCTTATGGAGTCTAGATTTCATAACATGTAACATAATATAGAGTAGTGTTTTCAAATTTGTTTCCTTAAAAACATTCTTCAAAAGACATTTATACAGGGAAAAGGGTATAGTTCGAGTGGTGGAGCACATGCTTAGCACGCACAAGGTCCTACGTTCAATCCCCAGTACCTCCTCTAAAAATAAATAAAATAAGTAAGCCTAATTACCCCCCCCGCAATTTTTTTAAAAAGGCATTTATACATATATATTCCAAATATAAAATAGATAATAATACAAGTTGACATTTACTGCATATCTACTATATGCCTGGCACTGTTGTAAACCTTTAAATGACTTAACCCACTTAATTCTCAGAACAATCCTATGAAGTAGTATTCTAAAGTAGGTACTATTTTATAGATGAAGTTGAGACACAGAGGTTGAGTAATAAGCTTAGCCAATTCACTCAGCATGTAAGAGGTAGAGCTGGAATAAGAATTTAGGCAATCTAACTGCAGAGACCAAGCTTTCAACTATTTCACCATACTGTCTCTGTGAATTGTTCCGGCTACATCAGGAGTCAAAGGAGAATCTCACCATCCTAGCCTCCTGTTTCCCTCAGAGGTATTATCCCTAAAGTTATTTAAAAGGAAGTTTAGGACTCTGAGGAACACTTAAAAAAAAAACTATCTTGCCTGTATAATAAGATAATTAGTTTTGAGTTGCATAGACTATGAAAGCACTTTGTAAAGTGTAAGGTACTATGTGAATATGAATATAGTATTTTCACCCCAATTCAGGAACTTCATCCTGATATTACTATGTCCTCCCTAATATGGGCTCTGTTCTGGCTCTCTTCTCAAACTTTCCGGGTTATTTCATTTATACCAAGCATCAACTACTTCTAATCTGTTACCACTGTGACCTCTTTCCTGATTAATCTAAACACCTCCCAAGCATTTCCACTTGCATAGTCTATTAGCACCAAACACTCAACATTTTCCAATCTGAAATATCTTCTTAAATCCAGTCATCCTTGCAAAATCAGCTCCATATCCTGCCATTCCCTACTTCATTTTTATTTTAAAACATCTCCAATCTCCTAGTTCCCCAAGCTAGAAAGTTCTGAATGGTCTGACTCACTCCTCCCCTTCTCTCGTATTAACCATATGCCAAATCATATCAATTCATCAGTTCCTTCCCCACAGTAACTCAACACTCCCTTCCATTCTCAATGCCTTCATTACCTTTCACCTACCAATGGTAATAGCCTTCTAACCGGTACTGACTGTTTCCTCTAATCCAGTCAATTAATCTCTAAGAAATATAATTATGATTATGTAACTTCTTAAAACAATTGACACACAGATGCCTACAGAATAAGACCCAAACTCCTCAACCTCACATTAAAAACCAATCAGTATCTTCCAACATCCTGTTTTTCCCATATCTTCCCCATTCTCATTTATGCATCTGTGTGCCAGCAGACTAGAATTTTCCCAAACATGAACTGTGCTTTCCCACTGCCCCTCCTTTGTTCATCCTATATTCTCTGCCTCAAAACTATTCATTCTACAGTCTCTGCCTCATCCTATATAGTCTCACTATCCACAGTTATTAAAATCTTACTCTTATGACTCAGTTTAAATATCAGCTCCTTTTGAAGTTTTCCATAATCCCCTAATATTGACTGCAATCTCTCCCATCAACACTTCTACAGTGTTGATCTGAATTTCTTTAATAACATGAATACATTTCTGACATACTCTATAGTTACTTTTGCAAATAGTTCTTTAAAAGGCAGTCTCCCATATAAAAGCAAAGATTGTGACCTTGTTCACTGCCATATGACCAGCAACTAGAACTTGTACACAGCAAGCATTCAAGTACATTAGTTAAGTGGATAAAAAATGACTGTGTTTTAGGCATTCTTTGCGAAGATACAAAAATAAAACACAAAGCAGTCAATAAAGATGTTAAGCAAATAATCTCAAAACCTTAATAAAGCCTTTCTGATAAGGATAACAATTTCTATAATACACACCCTAACTCAATATTATATCACCCCAAAATGATTCTCTTCAATGTTCTGGAAGCTAAATATTGACTAACAAAGTCATTTTATAGGACAGTAGGAAAAGGAGTCAGTTTTAAAACTTCACATATATCTTCTATGAGTCAGTAAAAAGATTTTTTTTTAAAGGAGGGGGATAGTTCTAAGTGATAATACTTTTGACAGGGTCAACGTATACTTGACAAGAAATGCAGCTTCTCAAGTCATCTAGTACAAAGAAAACATCTGCCTTTCCTGGCTTAAAAAAAAAGTAATAGTTACGTGAAACTTAACTGAGCAAAACAGAAACTGAAAGTAAAAACGTCTACAGCATAAGTATGTAAAATTTAATATTAACATTTCCAAGCTCTGAAGGGTTTTTTTCTTTTTAATAAATACAACAATCTCACAGCCTTGATTTCAAAAACAGATTTGGTGCTTAACACACACTTAAAATAACTTGCTTTAAACTGTTTAAAAGTCAGAAAAGGCCTGTCTAGTGGAACGCATGATGACAAAACTCTTGAGAATCACTCTATATTCCAATTCCCATAAAATCAGACTCCAGACACGATATTTGGGCAAAGCTAAGACTGCCTTCCCGCTTTTGCAGACTATACATCTCAACACGCATTTCAATCAAAGGAATGGCTGTTCTATTCCCACAACTAAGAAACGGAAAACAAGGTTGCACGCCTAAAAGGAAAAGGGAGCTGAAATTGTCACACCCGTTAAGTGATCTCTAATTGCTTTTTCGTCCAGGCAGTACGTTTACATTTGAAAAAAGGCAGTCATACTTGGCACGAAAAGGTGAACGGGCGAGAGGGTGACTCCTGGCCTTCTCCGGGTTAAAGGTCGGAGGAGTCCCGGCCCCTCAGCCTTCTTTCCCCAAGCACAAAACGGAGTTTTCTCGCTTCCGCGCCGAGTTAGGACCCAGGAGTGACTCAGCGGTAGGACAAGTGCGGCCGACAGGCGCAAATCTAGCTTGGAGAATCACAGCGGGTGTCTGGGAAGAGCAAGAGATCCCCAGGCCGGGCCAGACTCCGGTTCCTGGGGCACCCCCATGACACGGCAGAACCCAGGCCCACACCCGGCCACGGGCCCGCCCACCCGTAACCCCGACCCCATTTCCCCCAGCCACACAGACCTGTCATACTCAGACCGGGTGAGGAACATGGTGAGAGCAGGAGGAAGCAGCGGTGGCTACTCGGGGATTCTGAGGGCCAACACGAGTCCACCTGTACCCAACTCACCCACACCGCCACTCAACAGAGGCCCCAGTCCCAGCTGCGCGTGCGCCCGCGACCCCTTCAGCCCGCCCTCCTGCGTCTGCCTCCTATTGGTTAGTTGGAGTTCCCGCCGAGGTGATTGGGCCAACGCGCTTCCCCGCCAGGCCTCGGTTAGCCCACGGGGGCGGGGCAAAAGTCGTTCTTCCGCTGTCAAGCCTGGTGGTTGCTAGGGGCGCTCCGAGCTGAAAGCGTGTGGTAAGAGTTCTCTTTTCAGAAAAGATGTGAACCCGTTCCAAGATTGGCAACTGGGAGAATTTGTAGAGAGTTGGGCTGTCTGAACCCTGATAGGTCCCTCGCCTGTTCCACAATCCCCAACGAGCACGTTGGTCCCGGTCTCTCTCGTCCTCTACCCGCCCAGCCTTTCGCGGGATTCCACGCTCTTCCGGCTCTGGCGCTGACTTCCTCCAGGTGTTGTGTGGCGGGCTCCGGGGCTCGACTTGGGAGGTGGTGTTCGCTGGGGTGTGTCTGAGCCGGCGCTGTGGGCGAGTCCATTCGCTTTAGCCCACCCCTCCCATGGCTCATTTGTTGAGAAAAGTTGGTGGGTTTTAGTCGGTAGGGAAGTCTAGAAATTTCCACATGGTCAAGGTAATTTTATTAGCATTTCTTTCCATTCCTCTCCCCTCACCCCCCTGTTCCCAGTACAGGTTTTCCACCTGGTGCCCCAGAGCTCTGGATCCGTGATTCAAACTGTTCACTGCTTTCTCTGTTATTTATGAAGAATCAGCAGGTGGTAACGTGTGTTTTGTTCTTCTGGCTTCCCTTCTCTAAGGAGAGCAACCGCGCAGCTTTGTAGAAAGACTGTAAATGAACTGTTTGTTCAAGAAAGATAGCCAGTCTATCATTTTGGGGAAGGATATAGCTCAAGTGCTAGAGCGCGTGCTTAGCATGCACAAGGTTCAGGGTTCAATCCCTGGGACCTCCATTAAAAATAAATAAGTAAGTAAACAAACAAACAAATAACCTAACTCCCCCCTCCACACACACACACACAGAAGTCGTTTAGTGGGCAAGATAGGACTTAAAGGAAATGCCAGGGTTCTGGTTAATGATATACCACTGGTAAGGCCTTAACCTCCCCAGGCCTGCCTCTGTCAAGTCAGGTTCATAACCTGGCCCTAGATTAGCTTTGTAAACAACTAAGGCATTTCAATGGTAGGGAAGATGTAGAAATAAGTCTTTGGGGATTAGATATTTTTCCTGTCGTTTATTTCCTGCCTTCATGAATTCAAGAGGAATTTCGTTTTGTGGTCCCTAGCCAATAAGTTTGACACTAATAAAACTGAGGAGAAATTCCGAGTGGCAATCCTCAGGGATCTGTTAGAGTTCTGAGAAAAGAATGGTATCCTTTAGGTTTCTGGTCAGCTAATGTGGCCTTTCTATTGAAAAATGTTAGTTAAATTCTCTATACTTGATCTTTTGAAATGCCTTTGAAATTAATATATAGTGACTACCTATATAACTAGATAGGTACTTGAGCATAATATTATTTCCTGAACCCAGGGATGCAAGGTACTCTGTAGCCCCTGCTAATAGCAGATATGGTGGTGAATGTCTCACAAAATTACTTGAATGTAGGATCCTCTGGGTAAATGTGTTTGTGCCCTAAAAATTGTATATGAAGGGGAGCCACAGGTAGCTCTGATTGTGGATCAGAAGAGTCTTTTCTTGTTTTCTCGCAAGAAAGTGTACCCTTACGGCATAAAAATCTAACACCTCATATAGTTTCTAGCATAATCAATTCAGATCAATAAATAAGTGTTTCATTAAAAGTTGAACCAAGTGTTCCTCTGAAAAAAATAGTAAAGGAGCCATAGAAGACAGAAGGGAAGGGAGTGTGGTAAAATGTGAGAAAATGAGCCAGCTTCAGAAACTGAAAAAGTTGTATAAACATCTTGGAGAGCTAGGCACATAGGTCCAGGAGCAAAATAAACTGGCAGAATAGTCAGGGTAGACTGGAGACACTTTGCAAATAAACCAGTAAGAACTCATCCCCAAACTGAGTTCTTTATGTACCTGTAATTATTTAATTTATAAATGACTGCACATGGCAGGAGTACTAATGCAGCTTCATTGCTGCAGTGTTTGGGACTCCTCTAATGGGCAGCTTTGGCTGGAGGACTAGCCATCAGCCTAGCTTGAACTTTCTTCAAACTGTGTTGTAGTCTGAAATGCTGCCTCAATCCTTGCTTTTCCCTCTCCTTCGTAGGTGTCAGGCCTGTGTCACAGTTTGCAGACTCTCCCACCTTCCCTTGCTTCCTTCCCTTTTATCTTTCACAGATTTTTGCCCTAGTAAATCTCTTGCATGTTGTTATGGGCTGAATAGTTTCCTCCCCAACACTCATGCGTTGAAGCCCTTAAACACACAATCACCTTTAAAGAGGTGATTAAGTTAAAATGAAGCTGTTAGTGTGAACCCTAATCCAGCCTGACGTGCTTAAAAGAAGAAGAAATTTGGACACACAAGGAGACACCAGGGGTGTGTGCACAGAGGATGGGCTATGTGAAGGCACTGGGAGAAAGTGGCCATCTTCCAGCCAAGGACAGGGGCCTCGGAAGAAACCAAGCCTGCTGACAGCTTGATCTTGGAACTCTAGCTTCCAGAACTGTGAGAGAAAAATTTCTATTGTTTAAGCTACCCAGTCTGTGGTATTTTGTTATGGCAGCCCTAGCTAATACACATGTCAAATCCCACCTTGGCAGCTGCTTCTCAGGGGCCCAAACTAGCATAAGTGGTCCCAGGATAGGTCCAAGAAAACATAAGTTGAGATTTCAAGACTGGCACACTCAATACCTCACAGGCAGAAAACAGTGCTATCCTGAGCAGTACAGGGACATGGGTAGTTCCTAGCCCAAGCTGATGACCAGTTGCTAAAGATACCATCAGTAGTGACTGGGAGAAAACATCCCAGTGGAGGAGAAAGCCCTTGCAGGTACTATTTCAGGCATGTGAAATATATGGAGGGGAGAACATGCCTACAAGGACAGTGGAGTTGACTGGTTACCGCTGAGTTGTAATGACTCTGAAGAGGAATAAAGAGAAAGCAAGGGTTCTCCCCTGGTTAATGGCTAAGTGTGAGAGACAGAGGGCCTCTTTAGTAGCTTACAAAGAGGCTTTTATCTCCTACAGTGGAAGAGCTGACACAGTTAAGCCACAGACTGAAGACATGATAGTTGGAGGCACAGAGCTCCAGAGACATTTAAATATGCAACCAAAGCAGGTCAGAGTCCTCTTTGAGAAAACCTGAAACTTTGAAACAAGGGATGGGACATCTGGTTGGACACCTGCAAGGATGTTAGCTCTGCAAACCCCAGTGAACTTTCAGAGTTTGCAGAGGTGGTTCACCTCTTCATACTAAGAACTAGTATTTCCTGCATGCTGACAGACGCTGCAGAGCAACTGCCCCCCAAGGCAACATAGAAGTTGCCACTACCTCCTTTCCTGGCTACCAGGCCAGTAACTAGAGTTAAATCCTAGCAAAACCTAGATGAGAATATGCTTGGGCCTGATAAAGGAAGAGATTAGATCAAAGGAGCTGTAAGAATTCGCTAGCATATACTGACAGAAACCAAGGGAATATCCTGCAATTGAATTTTGAAATTGCTTGATCAAAGGGGCTTGAATGTAGGACTAGATAATCAAGAATTCATTGAATTGGGGGCACTGTCTTGAGGCATAGGATTTAACACCATGGTAAGAACTCTTGGGTTTGAAACAAACACTGCTGCGGGGCTTTTAGAAACCTAGAGAAAGTGATGGCCAATTCTGAGTAAAGTAGAAATGTCTCAGGTGCCCTGGCAGATGATAGAAGAGCAAATAAGAAGATAGAGAAATGGGCATGCAGGAATGATATGTGAGGTCAAAAGACCCATCAGAAGATTATGTTCTACAGGAAGGCCCAGAAAACACACCATTCACTGAGGCCATCGGAAATTCTCTGGTGAGAGGCAACAGCATCACCAAGAAGTTCTCTGTAGCCTGGACTGACAGTAGAAGCAGTCACAGAACTGAGGCTCACTAATAATCATGGGAATGGTATTCCCCTTCCCCCAAGTAATAGAGGCCAGGTGGTGGCCCTTAGTCACCAAAAGCCAGGAGGCCACAATTATAAAGACCAGCAACATCTGACAAGAGTGGCAGCTTAAGGGAGCTTGACCCATATAGAGTTGTGGAGGTAGATATAGGGCTTAGCATCTCTAGGGGCAAAGTTAACATCTACAAGTGAAAAAGGCCAAAATGGAGGAGCAGGAGACTGAGGATGGTAATCCTCATACCCCACCCCAAATCATTATCCCTTGTTCAGTGTCTGGATCTGAGCCACTTTTCAGATCTGAAACCCACTGACCTAAGAGGTGGCAGATCCTGCAGCACTGCAGCAAGTAATACCTGTAATGATTCCCCAGTCCTTCCCCAAACAGACCCATGGCCATTTCGATGAGTGTACACACTAGGGAAGAGGGATAACCAGAAAAATGAGGACTATTGAACTTGGGATCTAAGTTGACATCAGTTTTCTAAGATCCAAAGCATTGTCATGGCCCCTTAGAGAGGGGCCTTATGGGGGCTTTGTAATAAATGGGGTCCTAGCTAAAGTCCAGCTTACAGTGGGTCCATTGTGTCTGTGGGCCCACCCTGTGGTCTGTTCTTCAGTTCCTGTGTTTATAAATAGAATTGTTATATTTGGCAGTTGGAGTAATAGCCACACTAAATCCTTGACCTGTGTAAAGAGCTATCATAGTGGGGAAGGCCAAGTAGGAACACCTGAAAATGACCTTCCAACCCTGGCCAATATAATGAATTTTAAAAACCAATATCACATACCAAGGGCATGATGGAAATTAGTGCCAGCATTAAAGACCTAAAGAACATGAGTGGAGGAAAGATGGTCCCTATCATATGTCTGTTTAATGAGCCAGTCTGACCCCTGCAGAAACTAGATAGATCTTGGAGAATGACTCTAAACTACTCTAGACTTCAGCAAGTAACAGCCCTAATTGCACCTGCTGTACCGTGCATAGTATTGTTGCTAAAGCAGATAAATAAGGCATCAGGACATGGCCCATGGCCAGTGATTTGTTGAGTGAGTTATTTTCCATTCTGGTTAGAAAAGAGCATCTGAAATGGTTCACATATATGTGGGACAGATAACAGTATTCATTTATAGTTTTGCCCTAAGGATAGGTAAACTGCCCTCTGTCATCATATAGTACAAAGAGATCTGGACCTCCTGGACATCTCATAGAATATCACATAAATGATATTATGCTGGGCAGACAGCGCAAGCAAGATGGCTAGTATGCTGGAGACAATGGTAAGAGCTATGCTTCAGAGAGTAGGGAAATGCTGCAAAGATTGAAGGACTTGCCACTTCAGTGAAGTTATTGAGGGTCCACTGGCCAGAGGTATACCAGTATATCCTTCCAAGTAAAAGATTTTTGCATCTTACATCCCTTACCACAAAGAAGAATGCACAGGGCCTGGTCTCTCTGTGTTCTGGAGCAATACATTCCACACTAAGAATACTGCTGTAGCCCATATATTAGGTAACACTGAAGATTTCCAGCTTTGGGGCCCAGAACAGGGGAAAGGCTCTTCAGAAGATCCAGGCTGCTGTACAAGCATCTCTGCCACTTTGGCCTTACATTCTGGTAGACTCTTTTGTTTTAGAGGTGTTAGAGTGGGAAGAGAAGCAGTTTGGAGCTTGTGATGGTTAATTTCATGTCACCTTGATTGGACCATGGGGTACCCAGATATTTTGTCAAACATTATCCTGGGTATGTTGGTGGCAATGTCCCTGTATATGATTAACATTGGATTGGTAGAATAAGTAAAGCAGATTGCCCTCCTTAATGTGGGTAAGCCTCATCCAATCAGTTGAAGACCTAGAGATCAGAAAGTCCTGCCTGACTGCATAGCTAAGACGTTGGTCTTTTCCAGCCCTCAGACGCGTTCTGAAACATCAGCTCTTCTTGGATCTTGAGTCTGCCAACTTTCAGACTGGAACTTACACTGTCGACTCTCCTGATTCTCAGGCCTTTGAACTCAGGTTGGAACTAAACATCGGCTCTCCTAGGTTTCCAGATTGTTGACAGCAGATCTTAGGACTTCTAGCTTCTGTAATCACGTGAGCCAAGTCCTTATAATAAACCTACATCTATGTCTAACACCTATTGGTTCTGTTTCCCTGGAGAACCTTCCCTAATTCAGATTTTGGTACTAGCAGTGGAGTGCAGCTGTAACAGACAACTGAAAGTGTGGAAGCAGCTTTGGAACTGGGTAATGGGGTAGAGGTTGGAATAATTTTAAGTTATATGCTAAAATTATGGATGTTAAGGGCAATTCTGGTGAGATATCAGATGGAAATGAGGAACATGTTATAGGAAACTGGAGGAAAGGCGATCTCTGTTATAAAATGGCAAACAACTTGGCTGAACTGTGTCCTAGTGTTTTGTAGAAGGTAGAATTTGAGTAATAAAATTAGATATTTAGCTGAGGAAATTTCTAAGCAAAGTATTGAAGAAGGGGCTTGGTTCCACCTGATTACTTATAGTGAAATGTGGAAGGAGAGAGATGAATTAAAGAAAGACTTGTTAAGCAAAGAGGAACCAGAACTTAATGATCTAGAAGATTCTTAGCCTATTCATATTGCAAAAAATGAGAAAGCATGTGCTAATGAGAACGCAAGTGGTGTGACTGGATTATCACTTGATAAGGAGTTCACAGGATTTTGTTAATAGAAACACTACCAGTTTGAACTGAAGGAGATGGAGATGGGACAAAATGAAGACTGTTGGATTTATTGAATTTGACAGGACAAAATTATAGGTGATCATCAGGGCCACTGCCTCAGTTTTGACAGGCAGATGGCCTTTGCCTGAAGCCTTGGGAGTGGGACCACCCAGCAAAGCCTTGGGGGCAATACTGCTACCCTGCAGCACCAGGACAGCAGAGCACTGAACAAGAGAATTATTCTCAAACCTTAGAACTAAGGGGATTTTCTTGCTAAATTTTGAACTTGGTTAGTACCCATTACCCCTTCCTTCTTTCCTGTTTCTCTTTTTTAGAATGGAAATATCTATCCTGTGCCTGTCTCACCATTTTATTTTGGAAGCACATAACTTGCTTACAGATTCACAGCTGGAGAGAAATTTTGTCTCAGGATGAATCATACCTTGAGTTTCACTATTACCTGATTTAGATAATATTTAGATGAGACGTTAAGTTGATGCTGGAATGAGTTAATACTTTTGTGGGTGTGGGGATGGAATGAATGTATTTTGCATGCACGAATGACATGAATTATAGGGGGCCAGAGGTGAACTGTTATGGGAAGAATTTGTCGTCCCTCCCCAATCATATGTTGAAGCCCTAACTCCCAATGGGATGGTGAAGAAGAAATACCAAAAAATATTATCCCTCTTATTTATTCCCCCCTACCCTGTCTCTCTGTCTCTCCCCGTCTCTCTCTCCATCTCTGCCTCTCTCTGTCTCTCTCTCTCTCTCTCTCTTTTCCCACCCCCTGAGAGGACAGAGTGAGAAGGTGGCTATCTGCAGATCAGGAAGAGGGATCTCACCAGAACCTGAACATGCTGGCACCCTGATCTCAGACTTCCAGCCTCTAAAACTGTGCAAACATAAGTTTCTGTTGTTTAAGCCACCTAGTCTATGGTATTTCATTGTAGCACCCCAAGCTGACTAAGACAGAACCTACAGTAAGCCCCAGTGCAAAAATCACAGTGCAGTCCCTGGGACCTGAGCAGGGCCATGTCATCAGCAGCAGAAAATTGTACACATTTTAAGAACCAGCCACTAGTGTGATACTGGACCTTGGTAGAAACTGAACGCTTAACCATGGGACTACAAGTAACCATGTGTCCAGAACTGCCTATTATGGCCTGGGTTCTTCAGATGGACCCAGCAGCATCTATTGTAAGGTGGAATGGTACATCTGGGATGGAGCTCAAGTACAAGTGAGGTACTTATAAGCTACATGACCAGGTAGTCCAGACCCCATGTCACCCACCACAGCTGCACCAATACCATGACCATCTGAAGGAGGAGGGGTAAAGCCTGAGTTTGGTTTGTGAATGAGTCAGCTTAGTATGTAGATATAAACCAACATTAGATAGTGGTTGCATTATAGTCACATTCTTGAGAGGCTTTGAAAAATAACAGAGGGAAAATCTTCCTAAATGGGTAGAATTACAAGCATTGTCCCTGGTCATCTGCTTTGTGTATGAGGAGAAGCAAACTGATGTAAGAATATATATATAGATTCTTGGGCAGGTGTCAATGGCTCGGTCCTCTGGTAGAGGACTGGAAGATCAAAGACAAGATCTAGGATAGAGTTGTGTGGCTGAATATACGGGAGTGGGCGTGAAGTGTGAAGATTTTAGTCTTGACATTTTGCACCCACCAGGGAAGAGGTACTAAACAATGAAGTAGATAAAATGGCTCATCCAGTTGCCATTACCAGCCTTAATCAGTGGCTACCTTGGAACCAGCTTGATGGGCACTGTTATGGGTTACAGTGTATTCCCCAAAGTTCATATGTTGATGTTCTAATCTCCAAAACCTCAAAATGTGACCTTGATGGGGAGGGTGTAGCTCAGTGGTAGAGTGTGTGCTTAGCATACAGAAAGTCCTGGGTTCAATCTCCAGTACCTCTGTTAAAAATAAATATTAAATAAACAAACAAACAAATAAACCTAATTATCGACCCCCCCAAAAGAAATGCGACCTTACTTGGAAATAGGGTTGTTGCAGATGTAATTAGTTAAAATGACATCATACTGGGGTAGGCTGAACCCCTAATTCAATGTGACTGGTATCCTTATAAGCAGAAGGTCATGTGAAGATAGAGAAACACAAGGGAATGCCGTGTGAAGATAAAAACAAAGATTAGGGTGATGCAGTAGAAGCCAAGGAATGCCAAAGATTGCCAGCAAGCCACCAGAAGCTCGGGAGAAGTATGGAACAGACTTTCCCTCACAGCCCTCAGAAGGGACCAAGCCTGCTGACACCTTGATCTCAGATTTCTAGCTTCCAGAACTGTGAGACAATAAATTTCTGTTGTTTAAATCACCAAATTTGTGATACTTTGTTAAGGCATCTTTAAGAAACTAATACAGGCACATAAATGGAGTGGCCACAGTACCAGAGATGGAGGCGATGTGTGGGCCCCAAAAACATGGACTCCAACTTTTTAAGGCTGATCAAGCTACTGAGGTCTAAATATCCAACATGTTAGCAATAGGGGCCAATGCTGAGCCCCCAGTAAGGAACTATTACTCAAGGAGACCAGTTGGATACTTGGTGGCAAATCAACTACACTGAGTCTCTTCCATCCTGTAGGGGCCAGTAGTTCCTTCTCACAGTAATAGGTAATTATTCTGCGTATGGGTTTTCCTTTCCACCAACAGATCCTCAGCCAACATTACTTTATTGGGACTTACGGAATGTCTGATCCACAGGCATAGAATTCTGCATAACAGCATCCAACCAGGGCAACTGCTTCATGGTAAAAGAAGTGCAGGAGGTAGACCTATACCATACCAACCAGAGAAGGCTGACCTCATGAAGAGCTAGAATGACTTTCTAAAGGCTCAGGTGAAATGCCATTCAGAGGCAACTCTGAAAAAATTGGGTGCTATCCTTCAGGATATGTTATACAGGTTAAATCAGAGGCCTTTATGAACCCAATAGGAAAAATACATTGGTCACTAACCAAAGAGTAGACACAGGAATAGCTCCACTTACCTTCACTACCAATGACCCACTAGAGGATTTTGTGCTTCCTATACCCACAAATCTGGGATCTATAGTGCTAGGGGTACTGGTTCCCGAAGAGGTTGCACTCCTGTTAAGGGACACAGCAAGGGTCCCATAGAACTATAAGGTATGACTACACCTAGGGCACTTTGGACTCACTGTTCCAGGGACTAGAAGGCAAAAGAGGAGTCACATCATGACAAGCAAAATTGACCCCAGTCGGTAGGAGAACGTAGCACTGCTTTTTACAGAATCCATGTGATCCTCTTGGGCACCTCCTGATACTCCCTTGCCCCACTGTAATTGTGAGCACGTGCAGCAACCCTGGCCTGAGAAGAGTAGGACTAGGAACTCAGACCCCTCAGGAATGAAGATTTGGATCACACCACCACATAAGCCACTAAGACCTGCTAAGTTGATAACTGAGAGTGAGGGGAATTTAGAGTAAATAGTGGAAAAGGGAGAGAATGAGTATCAGTTGTGGCCCCAGACCAATTGCTGCAGTTCATTCCACTAACCTTCCTCTTCTGAGTTTCTCTTCAGGAAGAGATGCCCATGGGAACCATGGAAGAGCTTTTCCCCAAACCAGCATGAAGAAATTATCCTTGAGACAAATGAGTGGAATGTGGTGTTTCTTAAAATGGGACACTGGATTCCCTGCTGTGCAGAGTGTAGTTAATTGATGATCCTAGATGCTGTTCTGGATCTACCAATGTGTTCACAGCTGAGGCCACGCTTCCCACAACCTATTCCTATCTAGTGCTTGAGCATGGTAGAGTAATAATACAGGCTCATTCCTTTGAGACTTGAGACTCCTCTGACGGGCCACTTTGGCTAGAGAACTAGTCTTAAGATTCAGAGCTTAGAGGGAAATTTAGAGAAAGAAAATTCATGCGAAGAGATTTGAAAAAAGGAAATAAAGATAAAATCAGAAATCGATGAAATAGAAAGCAAAAAGCCGAGAGATAATCAACAAAGCCAAAACATTAATCTTCAAAAAGACAACAACAACAACAACAACAACAACAACTCTAAAGACTAATAAAGGAAAACTTTAAGAAAACACATTACCAATACCAGTAATGAAAAAGGGGGCATCACCACAGTTCCTATAGACATTAAAAACAAAAGAGAATACAGCTTTATACCAATAAATTCGACAATTCAGGTGAAGTGGAAACTTTTATTGAAAAACAAAACTTACCAAAACCTAAAAATAACAAAAAATTCTATATTTTATATTTTAAAGAAAGTAAACTCATAATCTAAAGCCTTTCTACAAAGAAAACTCCAGATGGCTTCACTGGTGAACTCTTTCCAACATGTGTATTTCTTTTAGAAAGGCATGAAAGGCATGTTCATACTTTCTGATGCTTATTTATCACATGCCCTATTTGTAGATTAACTTCCCGCCGCTCCATGCCTCATTCATTTAGCACCTACTATGTATTATGTTGAGTTGTAGATAAGATGAATAAAGTTTTTGGCAGAGGAAGCTTTCAGGTTGGTGGAAAGGCAGACATATAATGTAGATGCAGTGAAATAAGTGCTAATAAAGATTTTTATAAAGTACTATGAGAGATGGGTGTGAATCCAGGGAAGGAAAAGCTTTACAGGCATGAGAAGTGAAACTGCCATGTGCTATGGGCATAAAAATAATTGGAAAATAGAGGACATGCTTTCTGTCTTCCTGGATCTTCTCCCCTTACTCTCTTACATTCTTAATACCTCAGTGTTTTTCCTTGGCTTCTGTTTTTCATTTGCCACAAACAATTTCAACCACTCCTACATTTGTCCCTTTCATATATATTTTAATCATTTCTAAATCCGTATCTCCAGCCTCCACCTCTCTCTTGAGCTCCAGGCCTAAATATTCAAATAACCAGAGAATTCGCCTACTCAAGGACTTTGTTTCCACACTTATTCTCCTCTCTCTCCCTTGCATCACCAGTCTTACCTCCCTTCTTGAAAAATCCCTCCCCTGATGGCATGTCTCTTCAGCTATTACACTACTTTTCTGCCCTCTTTTATGTAGTGAATCTTCTCACTTTCTTTCTACTGTATCTTAATCTTTGATGCTACTGAAAACCTTTTATGAGTCTTTTATCCTCATTACTCTTCTGAGACTTTCTTGTCAAGGTCACCAATAACCTTCATGTTGTCAAATCCAGTTCTCAACTTACTTGACTGACAGCAGCATTTAAGCAGTTGATCATTTCTTCTTTCTTGAAAAATTATCTTTACCTGGCTTCTACCCTCTACTGATTTTATTCTCACCTCACTGGACACTCCTCTTCAGTCTCTTTGTTAGGTCTTCTCTCTCTTCTCCCTTTAAATATTAGAGTATTCTAGTGTCCCATCCTTGGACTTTACTCAGTTTTTGCTCACACTCATCTTAGAAAATCACAGTCAATTTTACTATTTTAAATGTCATCTTTATATGTTAATGATTCAAAAACTGTGTATCTGTAGCCTTAACCTCTCTCCTGAATTCCACACTCATATCTCCAATAGTTACTCTACTTGGATGTCTAACAGTATTCCAAGCTAAACATGTCTAAAACCAAACTTTTGAGTTCCTGTTAATCAAACCTAATTCCTTCCATCTTCTCCATCTCTGTAAATGCCTCTATGATTCAGCCTGTTGCACGGGCCAGAAATGTTGGGGTCATTGTTGACTCCTCTCTTTCTCTACTTCTCTTATTCAGTCCACCAGCACATTGCATCAGCTCTGCGTTCAAAATATATCCCTAGTCTGATCGGTTCTCTCCAACTTGGTCACTACTACTCCAAACTGCCAAAATGTCTCACCTAGACCTCTTCCTCCTAACTGGCTACCCAGCTTCCACACTTCCCCTACTATAGTCTTGGGAGTAATTGTTTTACAGTATAAGTTAGGATATGCCACTCCCCTGTTCAAAAACCCTTCAACAATTCACATCACACTTAAAATAAAACCCAAGTTTTTTTCCTATGATCTGCAAGGCCCTTGTGATCCAGCCTCTTGCTATATTCTGACCTTATCCTTTTCCATTCTCCCCTTCCTTTTTTCGTGCTTCAGTCATACTAGTCTCATTGTTATTCCTCAAATATATGACAAGCATGTTGCCATCTTTGGACATTTGCACTTGCTGTTCACTCTGCCTGAAATAATCTTTCTCCGATATTCACGGCTTATTTCCTCTCTATTCAAATGTCACCCCCTCCCAGGAACCACTTCACCTAAAATAACTCTCTCCTTCATTTGCTCTGTTTTCTTTCATAGCTTGTAGCATTACAGGGATTATATCATGTATGCATTTGTTTATGGGATGTATTATCTGCCTTCCACATTAGAATGCAAGCTTCATGAGGGCAAGGAATTAATCTGTTTTGTTCAGTCACCAAATCCTGTCAATTCTACCTCTTAAAAAATCTTCAGTCCATCTTCTCCCCATTATCACTACCTTTGCCTTAATTGAGCTGCCATCATCGCTTACTGGGAATATTACAGTATTCTCCCACTTGACTTTCTGCCCACACCTTCTGTCGGGGCCTTTCTCTCCATCACTACCAATTTGATAGCATTATTGTTAATATGTATTCATGTCTCTCCTACATAAAACCCTTTGTAGGGAACACCCTCTTTGCATATTGGATAGATTCAAGCCCCTTAACACAGCATCCAAGACATCTGCCACCTCCTTGCTTTTACTCTCCAGCAGCACCAAACTGCTTTCATGTCCTTGCCTCTAAACTTGAAATATACTGTGTCTTCTACTTAAATGCCCTTTCCTGACTCTCAGAGATGATAGATAAATATTTCTTCCTTTGGCCATACTTCTATTGCATTTATTATACTGTGGTGGATTTTTTTTTTAGCTTACATATTGGCCCCTTATTAAACTGTGAGCTCTTAAGGAAAAAGAGTTGTGTCTGATTCAGGCCACAGCTCTGTCACACAGTAAGTGGTAGTTGGAAATGGGAGTAGGGCATGGAGAGTATTCAAAGTAGGAGGGACTGTGTGTATAAACACTCTGAGGCATAAGGGTCATCTTCAGGAAAAAGAAGCTCTGGCCTGTGTGACTGGCCCAGTGAATAAAAGGGAGGGTGGCAAGAGGCAAGCTAGAAAGACTGGGAACAGATCATGCAAGGTCCTTGTCAAACATGCAAAAGATCTTGAACATCATCCTATGAGAAATCAGAAGCCTCTAAAAGGTTTTAAGGAGGAAAATGACAAGATAAAATTTTCATTAAAAAAAAAAACTCAGCGATGCTTGCTATGTAAAGAATGGATTGAAAGAATACAAGAATGAATAGAGAGAGACCTGAGGGACACTATTGCAATTATCCGGGCAAAAGGGATGATGGCTTGGCCTGGGTTGGCAGCAGTGGGGACGGTGAGAAGTAAATAGATTCAAGCTATATCTTGGAGGTAAAATGGATAGGACTTTGTGATAGAATAAATGAGGGGGCGAGGAAGGTAGATTGCACAACTGAATGCAGTGATATCATTTGCTGAAATGCAGATGATTTGCCAGATGAGAGTCAAAGGAGCAATAGCTAGGTTTTAAGAAGTTAAGTTTGAGATGCCTCAATATGTGACATAGTAAAGGGATATGCCAAAAAGGCAGTTGAATATGGAGGTATGAATTTCAGAAGAGAGGTCTGAGCTAGAATAATAACTGGGAATCATGGGCACACAGACTGTATAAATCATAAGAGCTGATAAGACAGCCTAGGGAGAGGTCGCAGCATGAAAAGAGAAGAGGATTATGGATGACGTGGAGTTGAGAAGAATTTCGTTGAATTGGAGATAATGAGAACAGAAAACTGAGAGGCCATATGGATTTTATAATTGCCCAGGAGAGTAACAGAAGTTGAGGAGACAGGAAGGCTGTGAGCCAGGTGCTTGCAGATCTTCAGAGAATGAGGAAAATGGTCAAGAGTTTGGAAGATCACTACATTCAGAAGGGAGAAAAGATGTGGAGATAGAGGATGTGAACCTCAAAAAGACAAATTTTACAAGAAGGAGAGGAAGTAATGAAGAGACACAACCTAAATTTCCCCTTAACTATATTCTCTGTTTCAGATAATGAGGATCTTCAAGAATGTCTTCAGATTTTCCAGGTTAAATAGGCTCAAAGAAATCCCACCTCTGCTCTTCCAGACAGATCAGTCCCCTGGGGCTTAATCAAGGCAGAGAAGCTGCCCGAGGGAGGCCAGACCTGTGGGATACTGGCATGGAATGAGTGGGAACTAAGAAGCTATGCTAAGAGTTCATGTGAGAGGTGGTGAGGGATTGAACTAATGTAGATGCAAAGGGGACAAAAAGGAGGGAGAGCTTGAAGCGACATCTATAACATAGCTGGAGATTGAGTTCATTCACATGGCCAATCAATCATGCCTATATAATGAAATCCCAAGAAAATTTCTGGACACTGAGACTTGGAGGAGTTCCTGGTTGGTGAACACAAGTGTGCTAAGAAGGTGACACATCCTGACTCCACAGGCAGAAGGCATGGAATCTCCGTGTTCAAGAGTCTCCCAGACATCACTCTGTGTGTCTCTTCTTTTGGCTGGCCCTGATTTGTATCCTTTAAATGAAACTGTAATTCTAACTGTAGTGCTTTCCTGAGTCATTCAGTTCTGTGAGTCATCCTTGTGGATGATTGAACCTGAGGGGATCATGGGAACCCCTGAATTTTTGCCAGTTAGTCAGACATGTGGGTGGCCTAGGGACCCTCAAAGAGTGTCTAGCATCTGCAGTAAGGGCAGTCTTAACTGAGGACTGTGTCCTTAAACCTCTGGAGTCTTACACTAACTCCAGGGGATTGGCATCAAGATTGTATTCAATTGGGGTTTGTGTTAGAATAACAGGTAACAGAGACTCCTACTGAAACTGACTTTAAAAAGTAAAGGGAATTTATTGGTGCACATTACCAAAAAGTCCACAAGTATATGGCTTTAGGCATGGCTTGATCCAGCAACCCAAATAATGTGACTAGGACCTGGGTTTTCTCTTCCAGTTTTTCTTGAGACTGGTTTCATTCTCAGCAAACTCCCTTCCTGGTACAGGATGGTTGCCAGTAGCTGAAGCTACTGAAGTTCCTGAAGCTATGGACTTGTGATTTTACATCCAATTAAGAGGGAGAGATTCTTGTTCATTCAAATAGATGTTCAAGAATTGAATATAATTGGCCTAAATTGGATCATATTCCATCCTTGAGTGAATTACTATGACCAGAAATATTGCCATAAGTCAATTAGAACCATCTAAAATCAGAGGTAGGATTTATCTCACCTAAACCATTTGGTCATAAATAAAGCAAAATCTGAGTACTGCTGTTGGAAAAAATGGGAAAATGAATATTGCGGAAGTAATAAAAAAATGGAAGGTATTCAGCTGATATTTATTTAACCGACTCCTCATTTTGAAAATTAGCTGCATTCTGGAAAGCAATCCCAGTTCTCTAGTTCTTAAATACTTTACTTAAGAGTTGTTCTGTCTGTACTCCAGGTGGCTTAAATATTCTATGAGGGTCTCTTTGCAGCCTAATGATTTGCTGGTGCAATTCTGAGAGAAATACAGCTTGTCAGATTATGGTACAGCGCATCTCCAGAGATCATTTATGTGACAACTTAATTATTCAGAGAGAAAACCCTAAGAGATGTCCACACTTAAAGAGCTGACAAAGAAGATGACTCTGCAAAAGAACATTTCTATGCCCTCAGCTCTGAAAAACCACTTGAAACTACCAAAATGACATCATGAAGTTTATACACCAGAGTCCATGGACTTTATTTATGGGGAACATTCTTTGATCCTCACTTAGAGCCAATTTGCCATGATTCTAGATGCAGTTCTAACAGGTTTGTTATCTGATGTAGTGATCATCTGTTGTTTTTGCATGTTCACTATCCTTTCTTACTTAGGCAAATCACCCTGATTTTCCTTTGGGAAAACTAGTTCTCTAACTTACAGTTTCATGATTTTGATAGGACTGATACTACCTACAAGGTCCAAGAATGAGCACATGACAAAGATCTGGCCAGTCCCCTGGCCATACCATGATTGATTCTGAAGTTGGAATGTTGTCCAATCTGAGCTATTGAGAGCCCTACCCGGAACTTTGCCTGCAATTCTTATGGGCTTGCTAGGTTATAAAAGTGTAAGGCCAGGCTGACGTTGGGCTATCATGGGGGAGAATCCAGCTGGTAAATGAAACCAACATAGAGAGGAAAGCAGAGGAGAGATACAAAGACAGAGGCAGAGAAGGGAACCCATTCTGATGTTATCATTTGGACGCCTGGAACCAGCCATGACTAAAACTCCTGGATTTTTCAGTTACAGGAGGCAATAAAATACCTTTTTTGCTTAAGCCTCTTTGAGTCAGGTGTCTACACTTAACTAATTCATTTGTTTTTCTGATCAAATTAGAAGCAACAACAGAAGAGAGTTTTTGCTGTGAATTAGCAACAGTTTCACTAATTTTTTAAAAAGTGTTATGAATTCTGAATACTTAATGAAATAAAATCCAATATTTTGGTACTTGGTGCTGACACCAAAGGAAAGCAAAATCTCTCTCTCTCTCTCTCTCTAATTTAAGACAAAGAAAGAAATCAATTTGCGATCCAAATCGTGACATCCTATTTTACAGAACAGGACAATGTTTGATAGTCCTGATGTGACATTGCCTATTTTTATAACTTTCCTCAGTGTCTTTCGCACTTAAAACCATCTTTGGTTCCTCTTTTAGTGAGTACTTACAATTCTAGAGCAAATTTATATTATTAATGTTTTTCTGTTTTAATTTCCTACAAAGCCAAAATACTGGATATTTTTTACATGTTTAGAATTTATGAAGTTAAAAAAATTAATGTGACTAAATGTTATTGACACATTTAAAATTTAAAAATTATAAACACATTAGAAATACCCTTCTGGCCACTACAGGCTCTGCTGCTTTCTGCAACTTGTCCGCTCCTCCACCCATACCCAACACACCCACACACGTACATCAGCTCTGATGGACCTACTCTGGAAGAGCTTCCAGGCTTTCCTGCCCGGTTTAGCAACCAATAGAGGTTTCAGGACTATTGCCTCTGACTGAAAATGACTTCTCTCCTGTGAGCCCAAAAGAGATGGTCCTAACTGGGTCTCACTCTTCTCCATCCCCTGCAGGGAGATTTCCTACTTCAAAGGCTCCTCCTGTCTACTCTTTGCTCAGCATTTTTGCTGAGAGAGTGTAGTGGAGAATGAAGAAGTTTGGAAGAGTTACTGGAACTGGGTGGTAAAGAGGGGATGGAAGGGCTTGGGATAGTGAGGAGGAGGAGATTAGAGCAGGAGAAGGAAGGACAGTTTGAAGGGGAGCTAAGAAGAGTAAAGAAACCTGCCAACCAATGTCTAAAATAATAGTACGACACTGACAAAAATACCTGAATTTCGGTTCTTAAAAATAGCACAGCATACACTTGTATATAGAAAACGGTAATGCAGTCATGACTCCCTCTACCTTGACCTTCAGTCAGAGTAGCCTCTAAATCTCGTTAATTTAATTTCAGAGACATGCCATTCCACCTAGAGATTCAACTTCCTGAAATATTCTTGGCACAAAACTTGGAAGGCTCTTGTTCTGTTTTAAGAAAGAAAGCCATGTACTTACATCACTTATACACACTGCTGCCAGACTAATATTCCTGAAGCACAGTTCTATCAGGTAGTCATTAACATTTATTGAATATTTGCTATCTGCCAGACACTAGGCTCTCTCTCTATTATCTTATTTAATCTTCATAACAGCTCTTTGTAGTAAGTACCATCATTAACCCAATTTTCTTTTTTTAAATTCAGGGGGTGGGAGAAATTAGGTTTGTTTGTTTGTTTTAATGGCGGTACTGGGGATTGAACCCAGGACCTCGTGCATACTAAGCACACACTCTACCACTGGGCTATATCCTCCCTCCAACCCAATTCTGTAGATAAGAAAATAGAAGTTCAGGATTAAGTCTCTTGTAAAGAAAACATAGCTACTAAATGGCAGAACTAGGTCTGGAACTAGGTCTGGATCTTCCTGACTGTACTTGAGTCCTTAACCACTATGCTTTATCACCTCTTCTGCTCAAAATCTGACGGAGTAATCAATAAAGTCTTACTAAAGTGCTTATCACTTAAGGCCCTTAGCCCCAACTGCCATTCCAATTTTATTTGCCATTATGCCCCTTCATACATCTGATTTTCAGAGCAAATAGAAGTGTTTGCTGATTACCAACATCCCTCAGCAGTTCACACTTCTATGCCATTGTTCATGTAAGGATCTTTATTCTGTGTCACTTTTTTCCAGAAAAAAAATAGAAATCTTTTAAATCATTGTTTCACACAATAATTGTCATAGTTTTTATTTTTCATTATAATAACAGCCATTGATTATTTACATATATACAAATATATACACACATATATTTTTCTTCCCTTGAACTTTTTTTTTCTGAAATATGTATGAAAATTAAGTGGTTTTTAAATGTTTTAGGCCTTTGCAAATTATTTATACATCCAAATGCAACAGAATTAGGATTCCAGGTAGTAGAAGTCATTTTACCAAAAGTCCAAGAAGTCTTTAGGATCTCCCAAGATAATCTAAAATAAACAAAGAAACAAAAATTTATTAGGACAGAAATTTGGCAAGTAGTCAGCCTCCTTGTGTAGGGTGTCTCTGCTCCTAACAGGCACATTTTTTTGAAAAACGAAATATCTGTGTGGAATAATTTCATGGATTAAAAAAAGTGCTCGAGAGAGTGATATTAACTTGAATGTACAGTTGTTTTAGCTAGAACACAGCTTCAGCTTTTTAAAAAGCAGTAGCTCTCAAGAAAACATAAAGAGAAGGGAACATTTTCCAACTCATTTTAGAAGGCTACCTACCTGGATAACAAAACCAAACAAAGAAAGTCCAAAAAAGAAAACTACAGACCAATAGCCCTCATGGATATAGATGCAAAAAATTCTTAACAGATACTAGAAAATTGAATTTGACAATATATAATATATACATATATATTAGGGAATATATTTAAAGAATAACACAGCATGACCAAAAATTCAAGACTGGTTCAATAGTCAAAAATCAGTCAATAGACCCACAAAAATACAGTCATTTGATCTTTGACAAAGAAGCAAAAGGGAATTCAATGGAGAAAAGATAGGTTATTCAACAAATGGTGCTGAAACAACTGGACATCCACATGCTAAAGACGTGAATCTAGACACAGACTTTACACTCTGCACAAAAGTGAACTCAAAATTGATCATAGACCTAAATGTAAAATGCAAAACTACAAGATTCTTAGAAGATAACATGGGAGAAAATCCAGATGACCTTGTGTTTGGTGATGACTTTTTAAAATACAGCACCAAAGGCATGACTTATGAAAGAAAAAATTTATGTCAGACTTCATTACAATTAAAAACTTCTACTATGCAAAAAACGCTGTCAAGAAAATAAGACAAACCAAACAGTGAGAGGAAAAAAATTGCAAAAGACATGAGTACTGTTATCCAAAATGTGTAAGGAACACTTAAAACTCAACAATAAGAAAATGGACAACCTGATTTGAAAATGAGGAAAAGATCCAGACATTTCACCAGAGATACAGATGGCAAGTAAGTGTATGAAAAGAGGCTCAACTTGTGTCATTAGGGAATTGCAAATTAAAACAAGATACCACTACGAACCTATTAGAATGGCTAAAATCCAAAATACTGAGAACACCAAATGCTGACAAGGATATGGAGCAACAGAAGCTCTCACTCACTGTTGATGGGACTGCAAAATGGTACAACCACTTTAGAAGATAGTTTGGCAGTTTTTTAATAAAATCAAATATACTCTTACTGTACAATACAGCAGTCACACTCCTTGGTGTTTACCCAAATAAGCTGAAAATTTACATCCACACAAAAACCTGCATGTTGATGTTTGTAGCAGCTTGATTCATAATTGCCAAAACTTGGAAGCAACTAAGATGCCCTGCAGTAGGTGAATGGATACACAAAACTGTGGTACATTCAGACAATGGACTATTATTTAGTGCTAAAAGGAAATGAGCTACTGAGTCATGAAAAGACAAAGAGGAACCTTAAATGTATATTACTAAGTGAAAGAAACCAATCTTATAAGGCTACATACTGGATGATTCCAACCACACGATATTCTAGAAAAGGGGTTGCGGGGAGGGAGTGAGGGATGAATAAGTAAAACAGGATATTTTTAGGGTAGTGAAATTTTTCTGTATGATACTATAAGGGTGAATATATGTCATTATACATTTGTCAAAATTCATAGACTATTTAATACAAAGAGTAAACACTAAGTCCAACCCAACACTGGGCTTTGGTTGATATTATGTGTCAGTGTTGGTTCATCGATTATAACAAATAGATGCAGCACACTGATTCAGGATCATGGTGATGGGAGAGGCTGTATGAAGGGAGGGATGGGGAGGTGGGAATTCCCTGCGCTTTCTGCCCAATTTTGCTGTGAACCTAAAACTTCTCTAAAAATAAAGTATATATATATATATATATTTCATTTTAGTGTATATATTTATACATACTTAATTTTTATATATATAATATACTTTATTTTTTAAATTTATGTGTATTTCGTATATAATATCTTTATATATAAATGTATGTATATATCCCTTAAAAATTCTAAAAAAGATATCAGTGTAATCTACCATACTAACTATCCAAAGAAGAAAAAACACATGACCATTATCAATTGATACAGAAAAGGCATTTGACAAAATTCAAAATCCATCCATTCTCAGCAAACTGGGAATAGAAAGGAACTTCCACAAGCTGATAAAGGGCATCTATAAAAAACCTGGAGCTAACATCATACTAAACAGTGAAAATCTGAATACTTTCCCCTAAGATCAGGAACAAGGCAATAATATCCACTCTCACCATTCCTACTCAACATTGTACTGAAAGTCCTACCCAGTGCAATAAGGCAAGGAAAATAAAGGAAGAAATAAAACTCTCCCTATTTGCAATTGTCTACATAAAAAATCTCAAGGAACCTACAAAAAAACTCATAGAACTAAACGACAAGTTTAGAAAAGTCACAGGATACAAGGTCAACAGAAAAAAAAATCCATCATATTTCTATGTACTAACAGTTATCAAATGGACACTTAAATTTAATATAATATGATTTATAATGGCTCCCCCAAAATTAAATACTTAGGTATAAATCTAAGAAAACATGTACATGATCTGTATGCTTAAAACTGCAAATGCTGGTGAAAGAAATCAAAGAAGACCTAAATACATGAAGAGGCATGCTGTGTTTATGGATTGGAAAATGCAACATAGTAATGATATCAATTTTGCCTAAATTGAGCTATAGATTCAATGCAATCCCAATCAAAATCCCAGTAGGATTTTTTGAAGATATAGACCAGCTGATCTTAAATTTTATTTTGAAAGGCAAACAAACTAGAATAGCTAAAACAATTTTGAAGAAGACTAAAGTTGGAGGAATTATATCACCCTATTTTAAGGTTTACTTTAAAGCTACAGTATCCAACACAGTGTGATACTGGCAAAGGCACAAATACATACATTAGATAGAGAGTCCAGAAATAGACTCATACAAATATGGCCAACTGATTTTTTTTTATAAAAGTGCAAAAGCAATTAAATGGAGAAAGAATAGTCTTTTCAAAAAATGTTAGAACAATTGGACATCTACATGCCAAGAAAGGAAGAAAGAAGAGGGAGGGAGGAAGAAAGCAAAAAAGAAAGAAAGCGAGAAAGAAAGGAAAGGAAAGAGAAGGAGGAAGGGAGGGAGAAAGAAAGAACTAACCTTGACCTAAATCTAATACCTTATACAAAAAATAACTAAAAAATATCTAAATGTAAAGCATAAAATTATAAACATTTAGAATAGAACATAGGAGAAAATATATATGACTTAGGGTTAGGCAAAAGAGTTTTTAGACACGATGTCAAAATCGTGATCCATTTTTAAAAAAGATAAATTAGACTTCACCAAAATGTAAAACTTGTGCTCTGCAAAAGACACTTAAGAGAATGAAAAGACAAACTACAGACTGGGAGCAAATATTTGCAAGTTACATAGCCAACAAAGGACTTGCATTCAGAATATGTAAAGAATTCTCAGAACTCAGTTGCAAGAAACAAACAACCCAGTTTTTAAAATGGGCAAAGATCTTGAAGAGACACTTTGCCAGAGAAGATACAAAGATGGCAAATAAGCACAAAAACAATGTTCAACACTGTTAGCTTTGGGGGAAATGCAAATTAGAATGACAATGAGGTACCACTATATACCTGTCAGAATGGCTTAAAAACAAAACAAAACAAAAAACCCTAACAGCACCACGTTCTGAAAAAGACACAAAGCCCCTGGAATACATTGCTGGTGAGAAAGTAATATGGTACAGCCTCTCTGGGAAACAGTTTGGTATTTTCAAATAAAGCTAGACATATAATCTAGAAATACCACTTTGGGATATTTATCCTAGAAAAAAAAACTTTGTTCACTCAAAATCCTATACAAAATGTTTTTAGCAGCTCTACTCATAATAGTAAAAAAAAAAAAAAAAAAAGGAAATAACCCACATGTACCTTGGCAGAAGAATAAACAGTGATGGATCATATTTCATATGATTGAACACTACTCAGGACCAAAAAAGAGCAAGCTACGGAGAAGTGCAACTGTATGGATGACTCTCAAAAACATCATGCTGAGTGGAAGAAGCCAGACACAAAAGAGTACATACTGTATACTTCCATTGATCTGAAATTTTAGAAAAAGCAAAACTAATTTATAACGACAAAAAGCGGATCAGTGGTTGCCTGGGGATTGACTGCAAAAGGGCAGGAGGGAAACTTGGGAATGATAGAAATGTTTACGTTGATTGTGGTTGTTTACATGGGTATATACATTTATTAAAACTCAAAGTTGAAATGTTAACATCTTTCGACATAGCCAGCTCACTTCTAGGTATAAGGCGATGTTTGTCAAACTGCTGGTAGAGACCCATTATTTTAAGTGAATTGTTAAATCAATCTAATGTGTCTACCCAGAGGAGTATTTACCCTGAAACTAATGAAACTTAAGCTTCAGGCCCTCTCACTTGCAAAACTTCTTCCAAGGCCTGGTTACTACATTTATATTTATAATTTTGTACTCTTTTTCTAAAGGACGCCCCCAATTACATAAACTTCAGTCCCCATGTAACCTGGATCTACCTCTGAAAGATCAGAATTTTTTTTTAATGAAATGAAATAGAAAACATGAGAGCTTTTTTTGAAAATGTTTCAGTTTATAGAATTAAAAAAATTTTTTTGATTTAAAAATAGAATGAGTCCTGATGTAAAATTTTATTTCTTAACCAGGGTTTGTTTTTAAAACAAGGAGAAGGTTGGTAATGTAGTGCACTGTAGCAACCTAGGCACATGCACACAAAGACATGTGTACGCACGCGACACAGCACTGTTTGTGAGAGTAGATATTTGGAAATAACCTCAATGTCCATCAATATGAGGATATGTGAATACACTGTGGTAAATGTATGTAGTGGAATTCCATATCACTGAAAGGAATAAACTAAAGATACATGCATCAGGCTAGATGACTCTCATAAATACAACATTACATAAAAAAGCAAGTTGAGGACAGTTACCTAAAACATAATATTATTTAGATAAAGTTTAAAACAATTTGAAAAATAATACTATGGTGAATATGTATTATTCCTAGATATAGTCATGTATATAGAAAAAATACTAAAAGTTTGCATGAGGCTAATAACAAATTCAGGATAGGATGGTTACTTCTAGGGAGGAGGGAAGAAGGGAGCAATACATGATACGAAAGTACATGCAGGGGTTTGATTTTATATGCAATTTTTATTTTGTTTTTAAAGAATAGATTGAGATAAACAAGGCAGAGTGTTAAAATTTAACAAGGCTGGTTGGTGGGTATGTGGATTTTTGCAGTATTATTCTGTTTCTTTTCTTATTGTGTTGTATTCCATATGCATACTGTTATAGACATTGGTAATGAGTATTCTTTCATATTTGTGTATCACGGGCATTTACATACCACTTAATCCTCATGATCACCTTATAAAACAAGGACAGAAATTATCCCTATTCCATAGAAAATGAACCTGACACTGCAAAAAAAATTATTACCAACTGGATTGGGGACTCAGTTGTTCCTTGTTTAGCCTAGATTTGCCTGGAGTCCACTGGAGAAGTTTCCTTCAAGTCCAGGTGACTGACCCCAGCCACTCCCCCACCCCAACCTTGTAAGGCACTTACTTAGTGGAGGAACGAATTGTATTAATGATAGCTAAATGTTCAAAAAGCAGTCATTCTGAAGTATGAGGGGACCTTCAAGAATGACTGAGGTGACTGATATATA